AGGGAGCATGGTGAATTCATCGGTGTCTAATATACTTGTTTGTCTCATGAGTCTCCAAGTTCCTTTGTAATTGTGTTTTTTCTTAGCTTTCTGTACAGCAGCTTTCTAGATGCCCTGTTCCACAGTTCCTTCAGGAGAGAATGTCAGATGCATTTGTGTGAGCAGCTAAGAGGATTCATTTCAATCAGAAGCAAGGTGTTTTATTTGGTATTAATGAAGGGCCTGATCCTGTGCCACAGAAGCCAAGAACAGAGAGGTCTGAAGCGTGTTGCCTGACTGTGGTGGTGGCAAAAGGGCCAAGTCAGAGGTCCAAGCTTCTGGAAGTTAAAGACAAATTACATTTGCTTGTAAGTTTCTCCCCTTCAATAATGCTGCTTAATGGAAGCTTTTAATTGTATTGCTGCTTTTAACTAGCTGCTATTGCAGGTTAAGCTCATTGACCCGAGACTGCTGTGTGTGTATATCAAGAGGACAGTGCGTAGCAGTGGGATATGTAAGTTCAAGTAAATGGGGTTTGCCTACATCTGCGTGCACAATATAAGCATTTGCTCACTTCTCTTACCTATCACATGGGTGAGTTTACTCACCTTACTTGCCACAGTATTAATAGTGGTGTGGAGAGGTGCACACACCATCCCTTGAATATATTCAGGGAGCTCACAGGCAGTCTCACTCCTTGACTGAAAGGCCAGCGGGCAAAGCCTGATACCACTGCAGCAGCCTGTGCCTGTTCTGCTGCAGCTCTGTTCAGTTCACTTATGAGTGCAAGATGTTTCTCTTCCCCAAAGGAGTCATTGCCACTGAAATGGGAAGCATGGGTTGCCTGTATTGAATGTCAGGACAGAGTCATCATTCCAAGGATGTTTTTAATAGCGAGGTTTGAAAATCCCCCACATGTATTATTTTGCATGCTGCAGGATTACCTTGTAGTTGGTGTTGGCAGCCTCATGTGGTTTAGAGATGCTGTGTTCCCAGGCTGTTCCAGGCAGACTGGTTGTTGGAAAACTCACCAGTTTTTGTCAGTGCATTTCAGGGCCAGAAATGGAGTCCAGTTGTTTTGCAATTGCATTCTGATGAGTTGCAGGATTGCTTGCATTCCCCATTTGTGCTCCTGTAGTTTTACCTGTAGTTGCCTCTTCAAGGGTCATAGTTTGGATCTGTTTGCCACATGCTCAGGATATTGCCCTATTTGGGGATTTTTTTGTGCATTAGGACCTACTTGCAGTACGCAGGGTATTTTGGTTGGAGCAGCTAGTGCAGAGGGTGGTTCTGAATGGGTTTCCTCTGTTGAGGGTCTCTCATTAGGAAAGAAGCAGACTTCCATGCCAGGGAAGGAAAAGCTCCTTACTTTCATCAGGGGACATGAAAGTTTGAGTTTGCCCAATGTCTTTAGTAGCACAGGTGATATCTCTGACAAAACTTAAGAGAAAAATGAAGAGAATTGCACTCATTAGGGACCACCCAGTTGCCTTTGATATGTTACCTATGGTTATATATGTTATATATATATATGTTACCAGGGTATACTTTGGGCTGCTTATCTTTTTTTCTCTCAGTACTTCTGCTATTATTGTGCTCATCTGTGAACAAAATCATATAAAAACACACTTCAAGTTGCAGTGGTTTCTTTTTTGGCAGACCCGCTGTGGAGCAGCTGTGTGACAACCTGAGACATAGGATCTGAGAAAAATGTGCTTTAGGAGGGGACTGTGCAGCGTTTCGAGCAGGAGTGTCTGCATGGATACAGGTATTATGTGCTATCTAACCTCAGGGCCAGAGGACTGTCTCAGGAATGTTTAACTGCTAAAATGGTGGCCTCCGTGGAGTTCATGGAGAATTATTTTCTGTTGAAGTTGATGTTATTACAAACTGAACCATTTTGAAAGGAGAATCTTTCTTAAACCGAGTGGAATATTACATGACTATACCACTAAACCCAAAAAGTGGTTTTGCACTGTCTATGGAAGCTTAACATTACCAGCTTCCTTGGAGAGGAGAAAGATGGGCACTCACTAAGATACACACCCAGTCCTTTTGTTGTTTCAAAGTCAATTTTCATTGAAAGGCTTTTTTTTCTGTTCTTTGTGGTTCAAAGATGCTGGTACGGAACTGGAGCGCATGCATGCCACAGTAATCCCGCTTCATACATAGGGGAATTCTGTCTTGAACCATCCTAAACGGGGGTCAAACTCTGCTGAGTCCATTTCTTCCAAGTTTTTGACCTAAAGCAGGGGCAGGGGCAAAAGGCAAGGGTGATGTGGTCCCTCCCTTCTGCTGGGGCAGCAGTGGTATCAGAGCAATGATGGTGTCTTTCTGAAATTCTTGACTGTCAATCTCAAACTTTAGTGCTTGTGTTGCATACAAATGCAGTAAAATCATTCTCTGAGTACATGCTGTACTTTGTCTTTCCAGGTGTTTGCCACACCCAAAATAAACATAAAAACTATTCAGGATGAGAGTCTGAAATAAGAACATGGGCTGTTGAAATGCATGGCAAGGAAAAACTTGGGAGAAAAATGTGACAGAGGACCTCACCACCTGAACAGGAGGTAAAAAGTCATAAATTAGGTGGAAATGTGCTGCAGTAACTCATGGTCAGAGGAAGGCAGGATTTGGCTGTATCATGGAGAGAAGCATCCTTATCCTGTGTGCCAGATACATCTTGGCTTCCTTGCTCAAACACTTAATACAGGCCTCAGCCTATTGGGCATGATATGCATGTGTGTGCACAGGCTGAGTATATGCCATCATACATGAGTTCCCCACTTAGAATACGTAGAATATAGAGATGCTGTGGAGATGGCCCCTTTGGATGTGGTGTCAGCAATACCTGTAGAAGAGTTGTTTTGTGGCAGTGGAGGCTTGTTCCTGAATCCTGGGGAGATCTTTAACAGCTGGATTGCAGAAAAACAGTGAAGTGGCAGAAATTTGACCATATGTACAGAATGAGCTTAAACATTTCTTAAACAGAAGATTAGTTGATTCTGAGCATATCTTGGGAAGCAAACTGAGGAAAAATAATGATAAAGTGCCTGATCTGTAGAGCTGGGAATTATTTCTGTCTTTATCCAGAAAATTCAGGTCCAATTTGCTCTGTTGTTTGACATGTTATTAAGAAATTGAGGGATAAATCTATGCTTTTGACATATATCAAGCACATGGAAGCATGATATCCCATCTGGCTCTCTGCTGTTAAACTAGAGATTTCTTAGAAGAAAAAAGGCAACCTAACATGAACCCACAGTCCAAGAAGCACTCGCATCCAAGTAATTGGATCAACTATCCTGTAATCCAGTAATGTTATCCAGGCTGTTTTTCAACTTACAGACAAGAGATAAATAAAATATAACCCACTTCCCCCCCCCCCAAAAAATAAGCCATGTCAGCTTAGAGCAATCAGCATAGAACACTGTCCAGAGGACAATTTGTTTCAAATCAAAGGACCAGGTTTTGGAAGAGGTCACACAAGTGCACAAGGAGAATTGGTAAGAGCAGACCAGCTAGAATGTGATTTGATTCATTTTGGTTGTATAGTCCTGAAAACCCACACCAAGATGGTTTTTGAACTCTAGAGGTGCTTCCGTCTGTTAGAGTTGTCTGTTATAGTTGTTTTTGTGGTCCCTGATGGTCTTTAATCTGTTGGCATCTTCCTCTCAAACAAATGGAGCATTACAGATATTCCAAATGCATTTCTTCATGTATTGCTAGGTCAGTTTGATGCAGTAGATGAGGTCTGACCATGCATTAACTTTCAGATCTTGAGGAGATTTCTGTGATCTTTCAAACCACTCCTGAAATTTACCACTAAAATATCTCATATTTATTTCTAAATTTGCAGGTTTACACCAAGACATCAATCAACTTCTTTTCTTTTTTTAATTGGTGTCAACAATCTGAAATGTCATAAAACATTGTGTGACTATAAGACATCAGGATAAAATAGCAGGTAAAAAAGTATTTTAACTGCCAGGAAAACTCTGATTTTGTTTGAGATATAGATCTATATAAATAAAAATTGCATAAGATTTAACTGGGCCTCACTTGCTAATTAATAACTCTATATGTCTTACATTCAGAATTCAAATTTTAAAGGCTGATAGCTGTAGTTTATCTTGTTACATATCTTTAAATGCAGAATGAACAGATTTCAAGGTGACTGTCACAATGCATAGCTTGATCCAAAGTCTATCATTTTAGCAATGTTTCTGACAATTACAGTGCCTCATCTGCAGGGAGAAATAACCTCTGATAGGGTGTGTATATATAGAGAGAGCTGGCCCATGGGTTGGAGGCAGGTGCTACTGTGGCACCTTTTCTTCATGAGAACAGAGCAGGATGATGGAAGGCTGCTGTCAACTTTCTGCTGCTAAGGTTTGTCTTCTCATGATTATCTGATTCTTATTAGGGTGGTTATTGTAATCTGCAACTACAGTAAAACCAAGGTTTTGACCTCCAAGTCTCAGATACCTTATTTGTGCCTACTTTTTGAATTAATTCGGATTCTGGGTTCTAGGTACCATTTGTAAAAGGGGCAAAAAACTCTGACAGTGTTGCATAGATAGGAGATAGGTTTCTATTTTAACCAGGGAATCTTAATCTCAGAAAGATGTAGTAATGTGTGAAGATGTGGTAAAGACCATCTTCATCCACTGTACATGAACCAGACTAAAATGTGTTAATCTTCTTAGATTCCAAGGAATATAACAGTTTGTACAAGTTCAGTAGTGCAAGAACTATGAGAGCTGCTTCTTGTAAAATGAAGCAGAAGCTCTTAAATTACCTGTGAAACTTCTCTTTAAAAAAGTTAGGTTGAAAATTGTCATTCTTCCTTTTGAATAATACATATAATTCTCTCATCATATGATAGTGAAATGTATTTTGATTTTTAAATCTGTTAACAAGACCTATTTCACTTTGGTTGTATTATCATCTTTTGGTTCATTTCACTGCAATGAAAATGAGAATTTCAATCTAAAAATGAAAACAAGATTTCCAATTAGTAGCAAGTAACAGTCTCCTTTACTGATTACTTTAAAATAAAGACAAGGTATTTCAACTATTCACAAATATTTCTGACATATCACAAAGTAATGTAAGAGAAAAAAGATCACGATCATATTTGAAGCAAAATAGTTTAAAATTTAATGTTTACAAATGCCTTGGGTTTTTTCCTTTTCAAAATGTTTGCTGGTACAGTTTTACAGGAGACTCCCTGTTTGGTCATGTACATTTCTGCTATACACACTGTGCTTTGTCCTAGGGGAGAAATGGGAAAGGTATTTCCAAAGTGGTACTTCATCAGAAATGTCTAATATGACATCTGATGGTTTTGCAATTTTATCTCTGTGGACTTTGTGTGAGACTTTACACGTATTTTTTTAATGATGGTTTTATAACATGATGTGCAGCTGACATTTATTTTACACTGTATTTAAATATTCAAAAGATCTGAGACCTATTTTTTCTATATATACATTTTGAAGCTTTAAGGCTGCACCACTAATGACATTTTACCACTCTTATCATTTTCTTAAATGTTACAATTACTTCGTCAAATTTAGAATTGTTAGCAGTGATTATGATGATGCCAATTTGAAAAATCCCAAACCAAACAAAAGAATTCCCTGGGAAACTGCACACCATGTGCACGATACATAACTAAAAGATTAATCCAAAGTTTTGATAAATACTTTTTTCCAACTAGAGCTAATAGTTGTTCTAGTTCTAAAGGATAAAATGCTTATTATATACAGAAGATTGGACGGAATATGCACATTTGACAAAGATCACTCAAGGCATTTCACGGTCTGAATTGTTCGCACAGTGCTAATGCAGCTGCCCTTTTTGCTTATGTGTAGGCTTGTGCCACCTGTGGGAAGGGAACATTCCTGGTGGCGTCAACAGGCTCCACCTTACAAGATCCAAGTTCATCTTCTCCTGGCTGCTCAGTCTTCAACTGAACCAGGAGATTCTTGCAGGACTGAGAGCCTTGCATCTGAGCTAGATGCAACTTGTACACCATTATCAGATGCCAGTTTATATCAGGTGAGTGTTTGGTCTTTTGCCTTCAGGACATTACAAGATGAAAAACTGCACCAGCGTTTTTCAATGAGCACCATTAACTGACTTTGGTAACTTGGCATGACCAGCAGTATTGAAGACTATGCTGAACTCCTGTCTTGTACAATAAGAAAGTACAGCTGCCAAATACCTTGGAACTAGAGTCTGTAAATATTAAAAACATAAATATGTTAACCATACACATATACACAAAACACGGCAGTAGCATATTACAGGATGCAATGCCTACTCTATATAACTGGGTTTTGTTAATACAGATGCAACAGCAAAATTAATGCTATTTGATATAAAGCAAACCCTTCTTCAAAAGTCAGTGGCAGTAAGCCAAAGTTCAGGTCCAGGCTTTCACTGATCCAGTGTGACTCAAGCTACATCAATCTAATCATTGAAAGAGTAGCACTACGGGAAGACAATGATTGTCAGTTAACACTTAAACTTTGAGCTGGAGCTTTCTTTTGCCACCATTTGTAATTAATTCTCCCTTTTTCATGAGTGCTCTTTCTGTGAACACTCACCAGACTTAATAGGGGATAAAGTTATTACATAGAAACTATGATTTAAGGGTAAGGATTAATAGAAAGAACCAGTCTAAGATTGGATATCCTGAATCCTGGGAGGTGCTCTCCATGTATTTAAGTGAAGTTTCCATGAGATTGCACTTGGAAGACCACTAAGAAGTTGTTGCTCTCCCACTTTTTCTTCTTATTCATACAGTTCTGTTTCAAAGCTTGGTAGGAATTCCATAAGAAGGGCTAGAGGAGATGACCGTGCTGGTCCATTGTCTTTGCTAATGCTCTTCAGAGCAGCGTCCTCTCCTCAAGATCACATCATCTAGCCCAATATCCCCAGTTCTTCCTTTCCCTTTCTCTCCTTTGAAAATAACCTAGGAAAAGAAATAGAACACTTTGAGGGGGGTGGGGGGGAACTAAATTGAAAAATAATTGGTTTAGAGAGCCTCAACAATAAGGAAGCAAAAGCCTAAGAAAGCTCAGGCAATCATAACTGACTCACAAAAGCCTATTTATTCTGCTTAGAATTATGGCTGCATTTTCCTACTTTTGATCCTCTTCCTTCTTCTCTTTGGCAGGATCTTTGTGAAGAACCTGCAGTTCAGGACAGACTTGCTCCATTGGGACCATCTGCTGAGGTGAGATGAACTTCCACAGAAGAGAATCTTGAGGGCTTTCCACATATCATCTCTGCACCGTTTTTACTGTCCCTCATGGAAACATGTAAAATCCTCTGTGTTCTCAAAAATGCTGCCTAAAAGAGGAGCTTTCCATTGCTAAAGCATGTTGCATCTACCTTAGTTGTGGGAACTAGAAACACCCATCTTTTATTTAACCAATTCTGGGTCCTGCAGTCTCATGATGAAGCACTGGGTCCTTGTGAAATAGTGGCAGAACTTTGGGCATGAATTTACACAGATCATCAGCAGCCCAGATTTAGCCTGAGCAGAAGAAATTCAGCACATAGAAAGCCTGACTAAAAGGACTGGAGCATAGATTAAATATTCAGAATGGCCAGCTGACTTTAAGAAACACTTCCCATAAATCAGTACTGCTCACCTGTGCTCCTTCTGTAGATTCCGAAGCCTGAATTGTTTAATATGGTCAGTGTGTCTGACCAGGGCTTAGAAATTATTTGATGTCTACAACAAAACGTTGTAAGAGTCTCCTGTTATCACTGAGCTGGAAAGAGTTAATACTGCCAGAAATGTGAAACTTAGCAAGATAAAAAGGTAAGAATATGGCAAATATATTGTTCAGCTGTTACAAATGTCCATACTCTCAGTCTGACACTCACCTACAAACTCAGGTATCTTTTTTACTGTTGCAGAGGTAAAGTTTTCAGAAAATTATCTGTAGTAATTACAGCCTTAATATTAATTATAATATTATAATATTATATATTATATATAAATTATATATATATTTATATATATATAATACATATATATTATATATATATATTTTATAATATTTACTGTGTGTGTCTCGTAGTCTGCTCCTACCATGAACATTATGATGTGTGAACTTTTCACACCACCTGATATCTAAGTCAGAATAAAACAGGCCCTGAAGCACCCAAGCCAGTTCTTCAGATCTGAAATTGAAACTACCTTCAAAGGTAAGCAGAGGTTGAAGAATAACACTGAGCTTTTGGTATCTGTTTATCCCCATAAGATTTCCAGGTATTAAAAGATTCTCAACGGCACTTCAGTCATCTTCTTTTGATTGCACATTTTGTGTTATGGGCATAGTTAGGTCATCACTTACCTCCTTGGCCGGATCAGCTGCAGGTATACTGAAGAGCATAAAACCGCATGTAACCTCCCTGCATTACCAAAACCGACTTATTTTGAATATCTTTCCCCTGGTTTAGCCAGTTACCACTAATCCACAGAGGACAATGCTTCCTTTCTTGTGGCACTGCATTATTCAAAGCATTGTTCACGAGGAATCTTGATACAGGCTTTTTTGAAGTCTATGTATGGTAGGCTCTGTCCATTAGGCTGCTCTTTCCCATATGGTGATTCCCTTAAAATGGGCTGTGCAAAGTAGCTCAGGAAATCACAAAATAGCCTGTACTATGAGCCTATTGCTGTAGGTGGGATTTCTTTTTTTTTTTTTTTTGCATAAAACTAATTGAAAAATATGCACAATGAGTCTCATATCCTTAATGTGATTCCACTGGCAGGGATCAAAGTAGTAAAACACAGACTGAAATTGGAGGCAGAAGACAAACAAACCAGTGCTACGCTATTCAAGTGTCTTCAGCTTCTCATGCAAAAAAACAAAAGGCAGCACAAGCATCAGTACTTACACTCTTGATGCCTAGTCCTCGTAAAGTTATGTGTGTCTGTCTCCAGCCATGGCCACCATTTCTTCCCCAAACAGCTGGTCCATGAGCACCATTTTTCCTTACAAAGACTTGGAGGGCACCAGAATGCAGTCCAGGCACCTTATGCCTGAATGACAGGCACAAGTCTCTGGCCTGAGCCATGTGATCCAAGGGGAGGATAAGATGTGCTGCTCTTCCTTCTTGGCCTTTGGGATCAGAGATGGTAAGATATTGTCCCCCTGCAGTGGAAAAAAGAGTTAGTTGTTTTTGGGTTTGTTTTTGTTTTGTTTTGTTTTGTGGTTTGTTTTTTTTTGTTGTTGTTGTTGTTGTTTTTTGTTGGTTTTTTTTTAATGCTACTAGCTTGCAGGACCAAATGCAGAGTAGTTATTAAAACATTAAAAAAAAAATAATAAAAAAGGGCTCCACAAGGTGCAGTGAGTGTTAAATAAGGCATATAGAACCAAGATTGGTGCATCTGCCCCCTGCAGGGTAAGATTTACAGTGCTGCTCTTCTCTTTACATTAGTACCTGGCTAGGTGTTGCCCATCTAATTCCTTTTGACAAGGCAAATAATACCTCTCTTGAAAACTAAAATTTCATGTATTCCTAAATTTCTGACAACCCCTTGGTGACTGCATGATTTTAAACCCACAGTGACATGAAAGCCACCATGTGAATTTACGCACCTTTCAAGCTGCAGTGTTTTGCTCTCAAATAGATGAAGGAAAAGGCCTGAATAAATGCTATCATATAACTGAGCTATGATTCTGTCCCTTTCCTTTTGTTTGAGAGCTGTGTTAACAGGTTAAGTCTCAAAGCATATCCATTTGCAACCATGGATAGCGTTTTTTATTTAACCATAATATAAATTCTTGATCTGGATTAGATACAGAAAACTGGAAGAAGTAATGATTTCAACATGGCTGTTAACCCTGAAGTCTGCTCTAACAGTGGGAAGTTGTCAGTGAACAAACATCTTAATTCAAAACCCTATCGTTATCTCTGATCATGTATGAAGTAAAGGTGCCTTGCAGAAAACACTTGGAACATGAGAAGCTGAGGATCTCAGATATGGCAACATCCATTAAATATAAAAAAAAGGCACCCTTCACACTGGCACTCAGAACTGCACTAAATGAGACTTCACATCTTGGAGGAAGCCCAGACCGGCATTTGTTCTTTGCACTTTTCATTAAAACTTTTGCAAGGTAGATGATAACTTCAAAATCTGAAATTACTAAATGGAGGAAGGTTCACTTTTAAAAAATAATAGTAAAAGAATTCTTATCTTACAGTGAACCTAAGAATACTTTTTTTAATGAGATCAGATTTTAGATTTTTTTTTAATCAAAAATCCAAGTTTAATGAACTTAATCAAAAAATCCAAGTGTTTTAATGAACTTAGGGTAAAGGTGGCATTTAGGCTCCTTAGTTGAAACTGATGATGTAGAAATATTGGGAGTTTGTAATATTGTTGGCATACACAGTCTTCACTCAATTATAGGATAAAAAAATATTTTCTATTTAAGTTGTCTCCCTGCTACTATTCAACCTGAGCTGTACCTTTTAAAAGCTTTTCTTTGAAAGTCACAATGATTTCCCTCAAAAGCTGTGAGGTTTAATACAATTAAACCAGGGCTTGTCACACACTTAAAAGGAAAGCCAACCTTGTCTCCAATTCACTACTTCTACATAGGTTTTAAAGTATTTTGGTCTCAATGAGATTTAATAAAGCAAAGTATTATGCTGCTGTCTGGGCCCCTAGATCAGCATCTGTTAAAGCCTTTTGGGGGGTATTCTGTCAGATTTTTTTTTTAGTATTGTTTTTGCATCAAGGTCACTAACTGCTAAAATAAGCATAATAGAGTTTAAGTAATTGTACCTGTTTGTTGAAGATACAATTATATCACTATAAAAGTACTGACTTGACTCATTAACTGCATTGGTTTCAGATAGTTACTGTGACTGAATCCAATCAATAGGAAACAGATTTAGGTAAACACAAAGCCAACGTAGCTGTAGGCAAGCCCCTGCAGGAAAAGGTCCACTCAAATCAGCATTTTCTGCATGCAAGATAAGCTTATAAGGCTTCAGCACAGCACCTTTTAAAATGCAGATTCTGATAAACCAATAAATAGCAGACTTTGAAAGGTGAAAGCAAACACTCAGGAACAAGCTGTGAAAATAAATCCTTGCAACAAGGTATTCCAGACAGGAGGGAGTGGGTGGGGGACTTCAAGGGACTAGTTTTAACAGGTTATGTCAACAGCAGCAGAACATACACAGGAAACAAAAAGCTGAGCTTGTCCCTGGCTACTGGAAAGCAACACAAGAGAAAAGTCTGACAAAAAAAGCCAGTTAAAAATCATAGTTTTGGAACTTAATATATATTAACAGCAATTTTTGAGTGCAGACAATGACTATGCTTTAAATGACTGATTTAGAAAGAAAGCACTTTTAAAGCCATTGTTTAAAAAAAAAAGGTATGAATTACGTGTGATCATTTTTCAAATGCCAGTCTGCAAGCAGGAGACAGCTACGCGTTTTCTCATCTACAGGAGGAAGGCGCTCTGCTCTCCGAGTCACTCACAAGACATTATAAGTGTCGTAAGGAGCACCCAAAATACTAGAGCATGCCTGTGTGTGGGGAGGGGGCCTGCCCAGCAAGTGAAGACAGCACTTCCACTTTGCGAGCTAAACAGCCTGGAAAAGGTGCCAGGTCACCTGCTGCGGTGACAAATGACTGTCTCATCACTGGCAGCATAAGGACAGACATCTGTGACGAGGTGGCGCATAAGGAAAATGGCTCTCAGTGCCCTCACCCTCCCTCATCTTAACCTATAACATTTTACCGCCTGAGAGCGTGGTTCCTTCCTCAGTCTGCCATCCCCTCACATAATGTGAGCATTGTGCACTTCAAAGGCTGCTCTTCTGGGTATGAAGTAATCCCATCATTACGGGGAGCCAGGGATGTGTGTCTAATCCCCGGCACCGTGGGGCAAGCACTGCTGGGGGAAGGGTACGCAGGCAAGGACAGCCAACCTCTCAGTGCCATACAGTAAAGTCAACAGGGGACAGAATACACGCAGCTTCCAGCAGTGTGGATGTGCACTTCTCCTGGGACAGCAGAGGTGTGTGAGGGGAAGGGTTGTTGCTTCAGCTGACCAACAGTGCCGATGCCAGTTCTCTCCTACTCTGAAAACCGCTAGTACACACTCCTCTGTAATGTTCTTTGTAAGGTCACTTTTTACCATCTCAAACAATCCCATCTTCAGAAGCCTCTACATATGAGCATTTAGCTTCTCTGCATTCCAGTTACTTAACATTTTTTCTACATACAGATTGCTGCGGCTTGGAGTAAAATTCAATAAAATCAAACCGAGAGGTTAATCTAGAACATTATATTTGGCAACAGAACAAAGACTATTTCTAGCACTTTCTATAATTTTGCTAGTGATAGAGAAATAATTATGTTAACATGGTAGTTTGAAAAATAAGCTTGGTTTCACCATAAATAAAAGTTGTTCTCAAGTTCATGTTTTTTGTTCTTTCATATTCTTTTAAGAAAGATAGACTTTTGCTGAATACATTTACTACTCCTTCAGAGACATTCCTATTTTAAAGATAACAGCTATGATAAAAGTGCAAGTTTTCAATTGCTCTTTCCTGCTGGGAATCCTCAATTTTGATTTTTATACATAGAAGGGGTGTGAAATACATCCCGGAACTAAAGGGAACAGAAGTTGTGTAATTTGTTCTAATGCAGGAACCGTCATCAACCTTAAGCCTGGGTGGTTCTGCAACTGCAGGATCATACACAGTCAGCTTACCTGACTCATCTCTCACTGGTTCCCAGTGCAAGTCATCATCTTTGTCCTTGATCCATCCACACAGTCCACTATCAAAATTACAGCTGTGTACCAGCACACCTGGCAGAACAGAGCAGGAGGTCACAAAAAAAAAAAGTGTTTGGATTGTTTTGTTTTTTAATTTCCCATATGGCTGACACTAGCAAGTAAATATGAAAATTAAATGTAGAAGAAGGAGCCCCAGAAAAAGAATCTGAAAAAAATACTAAAACAACAAAAAGGACACTTTTGTTATTAACACTTCATACTATTTTTGTGCTAAATCTGTTAGGAAATAAAACTTATTATAAAGGTTCACATAGGCAGTGGTTTGGGGTTTTTTTTCTTTTTACAACATGTAGTTAAAACAAGCGGCTTAAGATGTAGGAGTCATGTAAAAATGTATCAACCCCCAAGAAATCAGAAAATCCTAAACCCTAGGCCCTGAATAGGAGACATGGTCTTTACCTGGGTCATCATTTGCTTCAAATTCATCGGCAGTAATCCCTCTTTCAATTTCAAGTATTTCTAACAGATTATTGCTCACTCCAGGCTGGCGTGGAACTGTGAGAAAAATGAACGAGATAAGGAAGTAGGTCACTAACTTTAACAAAAACCAGCAGAGCAGCTCTAGGCATTGTGCTTTTCTTCGAGATTTCAATATATTTAATTATATTAGACATGAAGACTCATAAGCTCTATGCCTATGTGATTTATGATTTATGTCATAACATTTATCTGAGCACTGTAAGAGGTGATTCCATGTCTCCTAAAGGCTCTTTGAATGAAAGCTCCTTTTTAACCAGGGGGGGAAGCTTTAACCTTGAAGCACACTATTGCTCGCCAAATGTATTTTTAGAGATACTGGTTTCTCAATAAAATAAAGCCACATTAAAGCTCTTGCTCAACCCTTCCACAGACAATTACAGGAGAACCTCAACAGGAGGCAGCAGTACTTGGAAAAAGCACTTAACCTTTGAAATACAGCTGAAGGTACATCCATCTATTTGCAAAGAAATAGAGCTCCCTACACAATTATCAGGATTGTACTGAAAGTTGAGAAGGAGGATCTCTAGTGGAAGCTGGAATTCAACTGTAATTATACTTTTTGCTTTCCAGCACAGTCTGTCCTTCAGCTGTTGTTCCCAGCTGCAAAGAGAAGGAAGAGCTCTTGGTGATTAACAGGCCCAGAGGCTATTAGACATTCAGCATCCAGGACAACCTGAAATTTAAGAGGTCTTTGTGGGAATGATGGCTGCCAAAGTCAGGTGGCTGCAAAGACTCCCACATAGTTCTGAAGATGCTGTGCCAGTCTGTGTAAGTCTCCACAAATAACACGCAGTTGTCTTGCCTGATGGACAGCTATCATGGACAGCTATCAGCTAAACAGACTGCACTGAATAGAGCTGTCTTGGAAAATTCCTCTTTTAGAGGCAGGTCTAGTGCATAATTCATAACAGTAGTAAAGTGTTTCAGACATGTCCTTAGATGTTATAGGTACCTCTGACACCTAAGGTATTTGTAAGGGCCTTATCTATTAAAAACTTGACACATTTTCCGTTTGCAGTGCTAAAATAACTATCTTAATGTCTCAATAGACTTCTGAGGCAAGGGAGAACAAGAAAAATTGAGGCAACTGAAATAAAGTACTGTTGTTTTCAGAAAATCAAATCAAAAGGTAAGAAGGAACTTCTTTAGCACTAGGACAACATGTACTAGTACTGCTGCACAAGTTCCTCTAAATCCAGAAGACAGAAAAGCAAAAGATTTTTGAAATCAGGACAAAATAAGCAAACACTAACGTATTTTAAAAGTACTATTCTAGGCTAAAGATCTTGAATTGAAATTTTTTAAGGTTGACTTGGGTAGTAGAGGACTGTTAATTTTTAAAAGATATCTTGTTTTCAATAGTATTTTTGCTGCTTTGTTTCATCTGGGATTTTTTGCTTATGTTATTAAAAACTTCGAGATTTAACATGAAAGAAACCTTACAAATGTGCACAGTCCACACCACCTAGGCCAATAATTGCCCTGCAGTACATTGACACACAAATACTATATTCAATTATATAAAGAAAAAAAAATATCCATTACCTCAGGCAGCAAAGAATCTCTCCCAGCAGTATACTGCTGTCTTTCCTTGGAGATCTGTCTAATATGAAGGTGGGACAGTTGAACAAGCACATCCTACAGTGGCAGTCACACCTGCACCAAGGTGCTGATGGTGACACAGGCTGTCCTGACACATTACAGTAAGCACACTCTTACATTGTTACAGTCATGGACAGCCATGAGCAGTAGCTTATGGAGTAGACACCTGTATGAACTGTCTGTGAGTACCCAGACCACCACCACTGTGGCACACACAGCAGCTGTTGGCACCATTTAAATTCAGCTGCAGTGGGTTTTCTCAGGAATGTTAAAAATTGGTAATTGCATTTTTTGGACTTACTGCGGGCAGCCAGCTGGGACAGCATATTTTCTGGGAGTGTGTAGTTAAAAAGTCTGTTAAACTAACAGCACCCTGTCAGTCACTTACTGTCCTTTCTGGCAGGGCAGAGCTGTGACTGAAACTTTACCTTAGACAAGCCCTCACAGGGGAGTTTCACCTCACATTACAACCACATTGCAGGCTGCTGCTCCCTATGAAATGCAGTACTCCCCACACATGGGACACATCTCTGCTGCACACCCAGGGACTACCACCTTGCCTTTCCTCATCTCAGGTTGCACTGAGGGCAAAAGATACTATTTATTTTCTATACTGTGAAGAACAAGTTGGCAATTTGCTTCAAAACTGCGGAGCACAGCATCAGTAGATACAGTAGCTGCTAGTCTGGAACAGACACACTGAAGTGTCTTTACATCTGCTGCATCCACAGGACACAGGGATGGAAAGAGGCCAGCCCATGCGAGCAGACAGAAAAGCAAGTTGTCCTCTCCCTGGGCTGCAGGATGACTCCAGACTTCAAAGAACCTCACAGACATCACTCACGATCCCCCATGCACTCAGCAGCAATGGGATGCTCCTCTTATCTAGGGAAACACAGAACAACACGCTGAACCTCCATATCTTCCTGTTCTTCCCCTGCACCTTATGGTTTTTCTGAGGGATCAAAGGCTCAGGCCACAGGCTCACAGGCAGGGTTCTAAACGAGCACTGTGGCAAAGAGCATCGAGGAAACCCACTGCCATGCTTTAAGATTTGTAGGATACTCAGGGGATCACAGTTTCAGGGTGCTTGCCCTGTGTACCCTCTTCCCAGTCTATGGGAAGTCTATTTCCATAAACCAAGGCTATAGCCTTGGTTTATAGAAAATACTGCAAGAAATATTATGCATTTATTTTGCAAACTACTACAGTTTACCATTTCTAATGCACTGCTATTTTATACAAACCTGAGTTACATCTGTGCACACATACAAGCATTCTCCTAATAAAAGTTGATATATTTGCCTATGATTAAAGCTCTAAAAAAATATTCCTTCCAAAATTTCCCTTAAGTCGTTTCCAAACACTGTTTTTATGAACTTCTAGAAGAATGTGCTGCAGTGCATTAAACCAGTCACTTCAGTTGTCAGACCTAATTAGAGGAATGTGCACTCAATTTGAAACAAGAGTTACCGTAAGAGATTCAGGATGCTAAATATGATCCAGGTGTACACTTCTTTTTGCTACAACAACTAATATGTTGAGTGGTGATCGTGGGAGAAAGTATTTTCTGCAAGCTTTCCAAGCCCTTTCTGTGTACTTTATATAGTGTATCAGTGTGCTTTTCACTTAACTTCATTGATTTGATAAAGCTTGTTAAATATAAACTTGGCTTCTTTTTCTCTTGAAGAATTTTATAAGCTGAGCGAGCCACTACATCAACACTACCATATTCTCAAAGTTCATGAGCTAAGTTCTTCACAGATGCATGAGTCTGGGGGAAAATATTAAATAACTGCATAAGAATTATTTCTTTCCAGCTTTTCAAACCTTTGGGAAAACAATAGGGCTTTTTTTTTCTATTTACTTGCTAATTGCTGAGTTTGGGAATATAAAAAATTGCATGTACATATATCAGCTTGTTCATAATAAACAGAATAATTGCTGTTTTGGTGTTACAAAACAAAAAACAGAGTGCAACTTCATGTTATCAGTAATTGTTATTACTATTATGCAGTTATCTGGCTTACAACAAACACTGGTTTTGCACTGTAAGTACACAATAATCATGATCAAGCTTTCCAGATAACAACAAAAAAGGACACGGAATTTTTTGATTGAATTGTTACGACTGAAAGTGTTAAATCCCACTTCCAAAAAATCCCCACAAGTAATGAGGTCTCACACAGAACCAGTAGAAAACAGCTAAAAGTAAGGGTAGTCCAGAGGTCAGTCAGACTGAGAAAACAAGAATAAATCCAGTTTTCCTCTAGGGAAGATTTTGATATATGCTAGGCTAAAAGGAAGAGGCAACAGAGAGGTACACTTCATCCTTTTGTCTGGACACCCACAGTGTCCAAGATATGTTTCCTACAACTCTGTAAAATCAAATTTTGCAGTAAGATTTATCTCAGGAAGGGCTTTCATGGACTGTCCCACCCTCTACAGCACCATTTGTATACAAGAGGAGAGATGCTACCACTCTAAAGTCCAATCTTGCATTTCTCAGGCAGTTAAGAGGCTCGTTAAGTTTGACCACAGTCAAGCATCTTACTATATATCTTTCCAGATTTTCTGCAAAGTAACCTGCCTGTTTTTCAATGAACATTCATTCAGGAGGCACAGGATGCCAACTGAGTTTCAGGGAAACACAGCTAAAACAAGTAGTCTACAGAAGCTTGTATATCAGATCCAGGGATAAAAGTAGCTGCAAGACTGATTGAGGGTGTGATTTCTAAGACTCCTAGATTTTATGACTGAACTCCAGGGTATCAACAGGAACAAAGTGCCTATCTTAAATGTTTAAATATTAAAACATTTTAAAAGGTGCCAGAACAGTGAAGACAAATGAAATGCTACTCTAATGATATAAAGGAATAACAAACCCCCCATTCTTTTCTTTTAGCATTTCCCTTTTTTCAACAGCTTCAAGGATCACACAACTGCATTTACTGCACTAAGGACTTTTCAGTCACTGAAAGGAGGAACAGAAAGAAACAAGTTTTAATCTTTAAATTTTTTAATAGCTGTTATGAGAAAAATTTCCTAATTCCAATCTTTCCAGCTCTACTAAGGGCTAAGAAGGAAAACTGCTGAACTGTCTCTTAATACAGATAAGGGGGTTTGTTCTTGCTCTGCTGATATCTAAGATTATGCTTTAAGTTTATGCTTTTAATGGTTATCACCCAGATCCCACTGGTAGCAGAAATTCATAGTCCTATTAAGAAGTTTGTCCTATTTGTTAGAGACTTATCCATCTGAGTAACTAGAAAAGATTCCTCTGTACTTCACTGTAGTTTGTATCAGTCCTGAAATAGTTAAATATTAAGCCATCACTGCATTCCTCCCTCATTGCCATTCCTCCCATATCCATATCAGGAGAAGATTATCCTTGGTGCCAGATTCCACTGTCTGCATCAGACTAAGTGGTTCAAAGGCCAAGTGTAGGAATTCTGTTTTAAAAAATACTAATTTTTTGTTCTCTAAAAAAGCAGCTCCCCAAAGTCACTGCAGGCATTCTTAGAAAAGGGGTAAAGCATCTAAAGAAAAGCAACAACCCAATACCTTTCACAAATTGCAAAGGCATTTAAATAACATTATCAGCATTTTTATAATTTATGCTCTTTGTCACCACCAAACAGACCAATTTCACTGGTCCTCAGCTGATTTCAAGTTGAGCAGTGCATTCAAGAAAGCTCCGAAGTGAAAGCCTAGAACAAATTTACTCAGTGTGGGATAGCAGGTCAAATAACAACACAGGGAGGAAACAGGCAGCAACGAGTCACCAAGGGGCAGCCCAGGAAAAGATTAACTAATGAAAAACTGGAATTTGAGAGATACAGAAAAAAAAGTACCCTTGCCCTGGCATGCTTCCTCTCCTCATGTGGACCAATCCTAGACCACCACGATTTGCAGGATTTAGTCTGGTACACTGGGACATCTATCACTGTACAGTAACCAATGACCCCTTTGCCACGGACTGCCTAACAGAAGTACCACCTATTTACTGTCATGCTGCTTTGTCAAAGCCTGGCTATGGCTTCAGAGGCCCAGGAGGAAAAACGGATGGAAAATGTCCAAGCATCACAAGATAACCTAGTTGAAAACACAACTTTAATGCTGAGGTCTTCAGCAGACGCTACTGGCTGGAAGATCAGAACTGCCAGTGGCTGCTGGGTACAGTGCTCTCTGTGCTGGGTTCTGCCCACCCCTGTGTGATAAAACACCACCTTTTGTGACTGTTTGGGATACCACAGCCCTTGGTGACACAGCAGGAAGCAGCCATCTAAGATGAGACGGTAATTCTTCTGAAGACTTTCCAAAACTGAATAGTAAAATCCTACTTCATTATCTGAGTGGATCTAATATCAATTTTCTCCTCTGTTTTCCAAGACAGTAAGAGCTACAGGACCACTGAGATGTTGCCTGCATTCTCCAGCGGGAAACAAGGCAGTAAGAGTGAGGCTTTTTCTTCTCTTTTCAAGGAGGCATATGGGAACCAGACTTTGAATTCATTTTTGAGAACTACCTTCTCTGCTGCCTTGACTGGAGAAGCAGATGATATGTGGAAATGAACCCAAAGAAGCTCAGCATAAGCCAAACGAAATTAGCTCATATCCACAACCCAGGAACGCTGCAAAGATGTCTGATGTAGGTGAGACTAAAACAGCAACAGCTTTAAAGAAGCTGAAGGAAGTAGCTCAAAACTCCCCTTCCCTGAGGAAATATAGAGGCAAGTGAAAAATCCACAAATGTTTTTGGAGGTGGGGAGGGTTTGGCACATCCATATAGCAGATAAGAAGCAAGTCAAAGGTTAGCTAAATGTTACTAGTTATTCCAGTTTGAAATTCCGTATTGTCTCAACATCATGGTTTCTAACACCGTGTTTGGCTGCAAGGAACACTTTTTGAGAGGCACTGGCTTACACTGGGTGGGAGCTCTGCCATCCTGAGCTTGCAGTGCCTCACACTGAGCAGCTGCCTCACACTGAGCAGTAGGTTTCAAATCCCTGACAAATGCTTTCGTGCACTCCCTACATAAAGGGAGGAGGAGACACCAGTGACCACTACCTAGAAGATACTTTTGAGGTGTCCAGAAGATAAAAGAAAGAAAAAAAGAGCAAAAAGGAGAGTGGAAAGGAGAGAAAAAGATCAAAGAGAGAGGATAAAAAAGACACCAGCTTTGCTAATGATTACACTACTAGCATCATCTAGAGCACAAGTGGAGTATGTTTGCAGTCACACAGTTATGTCACACACATACGTATATCAACTATATCTCTGGCAGGAGATAGAAAAAAAAGATATGGGATTAAAGACAGACATCTGTTGACCTATCTGAGGAGCTATCTGTCTCCGCATCACGTACTGGGGCCAGTAAGAGCTGATGGTGCTTGACCCGTTGCAGTCCTGCGGTGTTGTTCACTTAAGCCTTTGAAGCTATGTATGTATATCACAAACTTCAAAGGGTGGCAGCTGACCTAAACAAATAGTTGATAAACACTTTGCAAAGATCCTGTGTTTGTTATATGTACCATAATATAAGCTTGCAGTCAGATCAAACCCAACTTAAAATGCTTTTACTTTCCTGCTTTCCAAACTCCCGTATCTAAAGCAGATCTCTTGAAAGCATTAGCTTCAAAATCTAGACTCTACGGACAATACGGAAAAACTAATAGTAAATAATAAGCTTTAAATAGAGGATTGTTATGACTTCATGAAAATAGCAGAAAACTATCCCTCTGCTTTAGAATTCCAGAGAACACTTGCAACACAAGACACCTGAGAAGCACAATGCTAGAGTCTAGAGTCATTTCCATAAAACTGCTTATTTTTAACTATCAGTTCACATTACACAAGTTTTGCGAGTATTTACTATATTTCCTTTTAGAATGTCACATAAGCATCCTTTAATATTTTTAACTGAATATAGATTGTTTAAAGCATAATCTTGAAAAAGTCAAAAACACACTCGACTAAGTAGTACTAGGATTTGTCTTCTAAATTTTAAGCCAGCTTCTGTCTCCATTTTAAATTTATCTAACTGTCCATAACAGATAAAATGTCACAGGGAAAACTTTTCTACAAGGAACAAAATATTTCTTTATGTAATGACCTACAGCAGCAAAGCCCAAGAAGATACCACACAGATGACAAAGTAATTGGAAAAAAAAACTCCCAAGTTGCTTGTGCACCTGCTCTGAGACAGCAAACTTATCCTCCGACAACATTGCTTCAGCAGCTTTATTGTACAACAAGTTGAAGGAGAAGGTCTGATCCAACACACCCTCCCCATCTCTAAAATTAGCGGCAGAACTAGAGATGAAATCAGGTGTTGAGTATTTCTTGGCAGATATGCATAGCTCTGTAAGTGCCAGTAATGTCTGCTGTGGTATGCACTAAAGCTGGCATGTTAGTGCTGTACATTTCAGAGAAGCTCTTAAAATGACACGTGTTCATGCTATGAGAATCTTTACTATCTTCAGCTTTTCATGTATCCCTTCTCATAGACGCAGTCCATAAAACCACCCTGTTACTTTTATGCAATCTTCCCACTGCTTAGTCATGAACATCTGAGACTATTTGAATTCATACAATATAGGTCACATAAAAGTCTTTAGGTAATTAGATATAGTCCCATTTCTTACCATTCTTAAAGATACGGAAATATGCTAAGAGTGACCCTCAACTCCCTGAATTTGAATCCATTGACTATTTATGAGTTATGTTGCATTTCAATACTTTTCAATAAAAATCTTTCATTTCCCTAAAAGTTTCACCTGAAAGCATAATTTAGTACTTATATAGGACAATATACTCAATAATTTCAGAAAGAAAAAAAAGAGAATTTTTTAGATTAATTGATTCAGAACTTACTTCCCACACTTTTTGTTAGGTAATAAAATCAACTACTTGTGCAGCTTTACCACATGACCATTTCATGCCTTTGTTCTCATTAGTACAGTGTTCCAAACAAACCAAACAGTACAGTGCATGCTTTCACCTCACTGTATCTACAGGTCTGATAAATGAAAGGATATGTAAAATCACTTACTGAACACATCTCCTCGGGGTTTCTGAGGATCTGGCTGAATCCTGTTGTCATCTATAATTCCTTGCAAAGATGTAGTTTCAATGGGAACTTGTGAAGGTTCTTCAGTTATTATAAGAGGAGGTCTTTGTGGTGGTAGTGTAGGTCTTATTGTTGTAGGTTGAGGTGGTGGTGGAGGCCTCGCTACTGGCGTCATTACTGGCACATATCTAGTGGTTGGTCTTGTTGTCACTGGCACATATCTAGTGGTTGGTCTTGTTGTCACTGGCACATATCTAGTGGTTGGTCTTGTTGTCACTGGCACATATCTAGTGGTTGGCTTTGGTGTCAGCCGAGTTGTCGGTCCAGGTGTAGGTTGGGCCGTTGTTCTGGGTGTAGGTCGAGTTGTTGGTTCAGGTGTAGGTCGAGCTGTTGGCCTGGTCATCGGCTTTTCTGTAACAAAAGCAGGTACATATGATGGTCTGAGGGGTTGCCTTGTGCCTCCAACATCAAGAATCCTATTTGTTATACCACTGTCTCCTTTAGGAGGAGTGCAGTTGCCGTTGAATATAAGATATGGACCAAGTGGTTCAACAGGAAAACACTAGGAATAACTGCAAAGAGAATCAAAATGGGACCATAATGGACATCTGAGCCTCTCACTCCAGAAACTTAACAATCTATTTCATTATGAGACAGAGAGACTTTGCTGAAATAACTTTTTTCTTCTGAATGTTTCCATCATTTAGAAACATACTTTAGCATCAGCACTGCTGAGTTATCACATCCCTTCAGATAGTACTTCTCATTGCAGCAGTTTAGAGATGATAATGACTGAAGGCCAAGAGACTTCCATCCCCACCTCTTCCCAAGCACTACGTCTCTTTCAGAGTTAGTAAAACTTACCCAAAAGCACTGCTGGTTAAAAAACCACAGGCAGGAAGCTGTGGGTTAAGCAGACCTCTAAACTAGACAAGTTCATAAGCAGGAGTGGAAGCAAGTTTAGTAAGATTCCAGTGTTACAACCATTTTGGTCACAGATGGGCAGATACCTTTAGCTTAAGAAAATTATCTTTCAGACCCCTTCTTCTAAACTTTTCTCCTTGTCAATAAGCAGTAATCATTTTACAAAGATTGAACCTAAGCCAGCCTTCATTTAAATCTTTACCTTTGCCAAAAATCAGGAAACTGAGTAAATTACATTTTTTCAGGCTCCACAAAAATGAGGTGAACTGAGCATCACCTACACCACATCTCCTCCACTATTTCATAAAGAAAGGACAACAAATTTTAATTTGGTTTCACAAGGGGAGTTTCTGCAGACATGAAACACAAGAACATCTGTTTTGCTACTTATAATTTTCTATTTGTTAATAAGCCTTTTATATCTCAGTAGAGATCTTAAAAGGTCCAATAAGAACTCTAGTCTCATATTTTGTTTACAAGTGTTTCAAGTATAACACACCTTTAAAATTAAGAACTACTGTTTGTTAAGCAATGAACCATTTGATGATAGCAGGTAAAAAAGTTTTCCCTCTGGCCACTTGTGTATATTAAAATATAAAACATACCATAGGACAATGTCCCCGTAACACACATGGAGTGTGACCACATATAATTGCAAGCACTCCAGTTGTGAAAGATCACCTTTTACCATGATAGCTACAGCCAAAGGAAAAAACGGTATTGGTCTTCAAAAAAACCAGAGTGTCAAAGATCAGATCCCACAAATGAACACAGGGTCCTTGAAAACATTCAGTAGATGTCAAAGAGCTTCACAGTCCTGTGGGATGCCAAATGTGGGGCCTATTCAGTACCAGAGGGAATGGCTGCTTCTCCCAAGAATAAGGTGAGGAAGCAAATTCTCCAACAGTGAATCTTTTTAGAGAAACCCTTGCTCTCAGCTCTGCTCACATCTGGGAAGCAGGAGGGAGTGGATGGGGTGAGCTGCTGAAATGGGCCAGTTGTGGAGCATACACAACAACAGGGTATGAGTAATACGTACTGTTTGATCAGACCTACCCTGCTTACTCAGCTGTTCTCATCCTGAAGCAATCTCTAGAATCAAGCTGTGAATAGGGAGAGGTGAATTTCTTTCTAATTATGAAAATGTCTCAGGGAAAGGTATTTTTACCAAGGCATGCTAAGACTTAAAAAACTCCAACTACATTCCCCAGCCCCTTATTAAGTTTTAAAAATAGCTTAGAGAAACTGAGCCTGATAGTGCAGTACCTTAACATTTACAAAATGGGATACATTAACTTTCAGAATCTCTTTTTCAAAAGGAGCATTACATACGTATGCAGTTTGTTCCATTGTCTCTGTAACCTTCTTTACATTTGCATTTGTAGGATCCTGGAGTATTGTAACAGTGTGAAAAACTACCACACTGATGGTGGCCAAGGGAACATTCATCTATATCTGCAACAGAGATTTACATTAAAAAAAAATCATTCGCTTCAAAGAAACTTGACTTTCTGCTTATCCCTGCAAAAACATAAACATTATTATGATTATTTTAAAAAAGTAATAAAACTGAATTGCCAGTGGGGAAAGGAAGGTAGATAGTCACAAATAATGTGGTGATACAAACATTAGGATAAAAGGGACTACTGGGCAACTTTCATATTGTTCAGCTTATACCTAAGCATCAGCTTCAGACATGCCTTGGGATAGACTGACGTTGAGATCATGAAGATCACAATTTTACTAACCACTTCTTACAGGTGACATAATAAGAAAAGAAACCAGTGCAGGAATATTTCAGTGCTCTGCATAGAAATTTCTCTGAAAAAAACATACTTAAACAAACATAGAGCAATGCCTCATTATCTCCACATGATCATTTTTTCAGTGAAAGAATCATAACAAGTTGAGATCCTGTGAAACTAAGGCAGTGGGACCTGGGAATATCTTTGTTGAAGGGCATACATGAGCTGCATTCCAGTCTCATGTCCAGACACAGACAGGTTATTTCCCAACTCCTGCCTTCTCCCCACCTGTCTTCAGGGGAAGGAAAGTTGGGCAGTCTGGGTTGGAAGTAGCTGGGGTGTGCACATTTTCTTATCTTGGATCTTGGGGCATGCCATGGAGCAGACTGGTGTTACAGCTCAGACATAGCCTAAGCTCATACGCTGCTCCAAGCCTACAACTGCCTCTGCACAGTGAACCCTGCAGGGACAAATGCTTTGGAAAGGAATTCCTGGGGTCATCAGCTCTGCTTTCTCACTAGCTTCCACACAAGAATCAGTTAGGAGAATGTGGGCCAAATATATGCTTTCTCTTTCACAGTCTATTTCTGGAATCCACCCTTTCTTAAAATACTGATGCAGTGTAAAACAACCTGCTTCAATATTTCAGCCACAAGAAATAAAAATTCCTCTTTAAACCATTCATTTCATTTTAGAATATGAAGCTCTATTACAAACATATAAGAAATAACTTGTTTTTACCATGGCACTGGTATTTGCCTCCAATGTACATCAGATCAAAGCCTTGGTGACATCTGCAAATGTAGCTTCCAAAAGTATTGACACAGTGCCTAAATCTTGGACAGATAACTCTCCCAGTAGCACATTCATCAATATCTGTGGAAACAAAGGAACTCTATTATTCTCAATAGCAGTTAAAATACAGCCTATGCTGTCTAAATTAAACTGATTTCACATAATGGAAAGCTAAAGAATAACCAAAGTATTTTTCATAAAGTCCCTTGGTCAGCCAGCAGTAATACCTGAGCACTACTTCTGACTGCCATCTTACTTCAGCTCTTGGTCACATGCCCAAATTTTTATGCCTCCTATGCGAGGAGCCTTTTCAAATGCTGCTGTGAGTAACAAGAGATGCACTGGCATAACAAGCAGTGTTACTGAATTTTGAACGCTTGCTCTATGCACTTGCTATCCTGGTACCCTCCCCCTTGGAGAAGAGACGTTTTCTAATTCCCCACAGAATGGCATGACAGCTTCCTCAAGGCCTCAAAGCACTCCTCCTTGAGACTCTAATGGTATTTGTCTGAAGAAAATCTATTTCATGTTATTTGTATAACTTTCATTTGCCCTGCTAAGCCCTGCCTGGTTATAAAGACAGCACCTGGATTTACAGGCAAGGAATAATAACTAAAACTACCCCAGTAATTCTTTTTCTGAAACATGCCTGAAATATTGTTCCTGTAGCACAGGTCATATGTGCACATTCAAAGTACACAGTTGGAACTGGCTTGTTTTCTTAAAATCTCAGGTGTCCCTAATCCATGACCTGCCCTTTGAGCCTATCAGGGTATCTTCATCTGTTCAGGACTTGCTCTAAACAAAGGGAGTTCAAGCTAATGCTGGGGCTGCAGCATTTCTGACCCTCCTACCAGTTAGCTGCCACAGGCCAAATGCTTTTTGAGTATCCGTTCTTTTCAATTTCTTGTGCTGCGCAGTGCCTGTGCTGTAGCTGAGGCCTCTTTCACAGAGAAGCTGGTTACTTAAGTGACTTTAACATATCTCTGAAGTGCTGAGATACATGGCTCCCAGCAAGACCTGAAGCAGTGCTGCTGTTCTGCATGCTGACTAACAAGACAGGCAGACGCCCAGGGAGCAGCTGATGCTCACCCAAGGCTGCTTTCACTGCCTGGGAAACTCTCAGGCGAGGTCAGGCTGACACACAAAAGCTGCTTGCACTACTACCACTCATTCTGTAGTCCTTGGATACTGAACTGAAGCCTGCTGAGTGCTAGAACACTAATTCTTCACTGAGGCAGAGACCTGCCATGCACGGCTGCCTCTGACGCACGCAGCTCCTGATGTTTCTTGGTTATCTACAGGGCACAGTTCAAGCCTTTGCTCTGCAGCTCTATCAGGCTCTTGATCTATGGGAAAGCAGGATTTTGCTCTCCATGCAATTGTTGTCCCAAAAGGAGCACTTCAGCTGCAGATGTCAAGAGTGCAAAACAAAGCCGAGTGATTGATGCCCTGCTGCTTGTAAAAGAGGCCTGAACAGGGCAAAGAGAAGCGTGAGTCTCTTCCACCACAGAGAAAAAAATGTTACCACAAAACCGCTGGTTAGTTAGGGCAGCCACCTGAGGCAGGGGAGAGGTAACTTCAAATTCTCCAAGATGTGTTGTTTCCCACAGCCAAAAGAAGTGACTTACAACCATGAAATTACTGGCCAGATGGATTCTCCCAGTAGCTCCTTCTGGCACTGTCCCACTCTGCATGAAGAATTACTGAGGACAGGAGGGATTCGACCCCTAAACTCCCACACTCCTGGCCCGTCAGACTGTTCTGACATAGCTGCAAACCTCCACTCTCCATGGAGAGCACTGCTGGAATGGTGCAGTAAAGGCTTGAATGAGAAAGAAAACAAGATCAAAACTGGGCATCTCTCCACAAGCCTGAATCTTCCTATAAATCTCTTCTTGATTTGAATCTATTATTAACGTTTTAGGCTTTGAGTACATTATTAAGTTTTACTCTACCATATTTTTCATTAGAATTTTATTTACAAGTCACAGTTTTTTACTCTTTATTAAAATATTATTTCAAGTCTGCAAGTTTCAGACTCTTGATTACTGTTAGTTGTGTTCTTTGTTGGTTTTGGTTGGGTTTTTTCAATCTTTAAACCACAACTTCAGAAAGTAATTCAATAAGGAAAAGATTAGCCATTGAATATATCTAAGAATGGATTATGATCTTTAAAACCTAATGTAGCTTGTCCTGCTTTTCCCTCTCCACACATTCACATCAGGCAAGTAGTATGTTAGATGATGAGAACAGTGTTGTGGTATTGTTTCATTTTCTAGGCAGTTATACCTCTTAAAGATACAGGACTGAACTGTTAATCAATACACTTTTGAAAACTGACACAAAAATAATGGAAAAATATAACAGTCTTCCACATGCATTTAATAAGAGATGCATGGATGCTCATTACTGGGGGGAAAACCAGGTTTTGAACATTAGCTAGAAGATGATGTGCGAGTGTTTATGATTACTTTCCTGCAGTTCTCAAATAGTACAGTGATAGTGGCTTCTTTCAAGTCAATTCACACGTGGACCAAACGGTGTAAGGCTGTTTCCCTTTGCCTGCTACAACATGTGGTTCATACCTGCTTCCTAAGAAAAGCAAGGATGAAGGGGTGAGTTATATTCTCATCTCAGTGTCAGGGAGCTGCTTCAAAGGCACATAATGCAGACAGCATCTAATGAGTGTGATGGTTAGTGTCGAACAGAGAAGCAGAATTACAGTCTTGTTTCTCTCTTGCTGTGAGGATGACCATATTACCAACTCAAGCACAAAACAACTAGGAGACTGATTTAAAAATAGTATGATTTTTAAGTTTACAATGTCATATTTTCAAATTTCTATACAAACACACACAAAAAAAGGGGAAATTATTTTATAGTGAAAATCACTATTTTCAGTCCTCAAATAATTTCAGACCTTCTGAGGTTGAAATGTATCCTGCTTTCCTTAAATGAAAATCCCAGTTCAAAAATCTGGCAACACTGATTGATTTATTGATTCAACAGCCATTAATCAATGAATTAGTTGTTTAATCCACCACATTTTCACTGAATACTTTGCTGATTTATTTTTCACTTTGTTGTCATTTAGTTTATATGATTTATCTTCACAGCCAAATTCGGGTTTTTTTCATGACTGTCTGGAAGGAACATTTTAACAAGAGAATGATCAGCATGGTTTAAACTAAGAATAAAATAGTGCCTAGAGGAATTTCCACCTGTGCTAAAAAATGGCATTACATTCCCAGCTGTTCTTCAAACTCTCCTCAAACAAGGACTTCATGAGATGCAGCCAATGCACAGTTCAATTTTCTTACCATCATCTACGCTTCTATTTGTACTGCAGCATTATCCAGACCCTTGCTGGAACTGAGAACCTCCCAGCAGTGATGGACTTGTACACATGTGAGGAAAAGGTACAGCCCTAGTCCCCAATAACTTCAGTTTTTGCAAGTATTTAATATAATCAAACTTGATAGAGAAATGGCACAAAAAGGGTGCACGTTACAACCATTTCCTTCATACCAAAAAAGGAGAGTACATTATGTTATGATGTGGAAAGTACAGACATCTCCAGCTGTAACTACTTTCTCTGTATTGTACAAGCCTGTTCTGAAATTTTTCTGGAAATTTTAGAAATAGGTTATGAGATCAATCTGAATGATGCACACAACTGAAATGTGGGTACACAGTTCTTCGCCTTTCTGGGAAAAAAGTGGTTTTTTTTAAAACTACTCTGAAGAACTGAAAGAGTTTCATATGACTGGTTTGAGTGCTAGTCTTTGGCATTAAAGTACACTTTATTTATCTCAAAGTATGAAGTTTGCCTGAGTATAAAAATGCACACTAGGAGAATGTTGCAAGCATTTTTTCTAGCAAATTTCTCTACTTGGCATAACTTCCTTGAATTCGTACTTAAAATCACTCAGCTCACTATGGCATGGCACAAATATCTTCCAAAGATCTCTGTCTGCCATAATGTCCAAAATGCGATTAATCATAATTTAATCCCTCCAGCACGTAACAACGGTGGAGATTTTTTCTACTTCTTTCCATTCTTTTCCGTACATAAATATGCCAATGATGTACTTTAGAAAGCCCCCAACTTAGTGTGGAGCCTGCTCTTCACATCAGAAGGTCTGAAATCTGTCCCTTTCTCTGCCAAAAACTTCTTGCTCAGCATAGGTCAGGCACTTGGAGAACTACCTGCCCTGTAAACAGCCAAGCCACCCTAATGGATGATTAGGACATCCACATTTTCTTGCATTCTTTCGGGGTTGTTACTGGTTATGGAACTGTAGCACTGCATAGGTTATAAATAATAAAATCACTGGAGCATCATATACACTCAGGATGTATAGTTAATGACTAATAAAATCACACGTCACACTGTTCTTCAGACCACAGTAGAATCTGATTAACCATAAGCACCTTTTCCATGTCCACAAACAGGGAAACAAAACATTTCACTTTTATACACTCTGAATTCCTGAGTTTATTTTAACCTGGAGTTTTCACAGTATGGCAGAAAGATAGTAGATTCAATTACATTAATACTGGAGCATGCATAGACCTCTGCCTTGTTCCACTGTAATCTCAATGACTTCTACAAATTATCCCTCTACCCCCTGACCTAGGCATCACCTGGTTGGGTATGAAGGAGAGCTGACCTCCCATTCCTTTTTTTATGCAGGCAGGTATTTTGGAGTCTTGGGCCCAAGGGTTTGGATACCAAGCAGTCTGTACGGGCTTTAGGCAGACAATGAAACTTGTAGGACTGTAGGAAAACACTGGCAATCTCTGACACAGACCACTTGAGCAACATGCCTCATTATAATTCTCATTAGTAACATCTTCAAATTGCACGTACAATGCATTCTAATTTCATCTGAAATTCTCTTGAACTCCATTCAGTGTAAGGATAAAAACATTTTGGAGAAAAAAAAAAACTAAATCTACATTTGATCACCTACCTATGCAAGTCCTGCCATCAGGCCCAAGCTGCAGCCCTGGAGAAGGACAGCGGCAGCGCACTTCCCCTTTCAGCACATCACAGCCATACTGACAATTTGCCATCAAGCAAGAAAGGGCATCTAGAGAAAATAAATTGAACGTATTTAGATAAAGGCTCTGATCAGTACTAAAAAATTGCAGAAAACTTTGGAGAATTAAGATGTCACATAGTTATGATAGAAGTGGAAAAATGCTTTTTGAATTTGACAGGTATCCTTTCAGGCTTCAAAGAGCAAATGCATCTGCTAGTAAAATTTTTCTGCTCAAAAACTGCATCGGTGGGGGGGAAGAGAGAAAACCACCACAACTGTAGCAAGTCATGCCATAGAACACAGCCCCCATGAGGAATATAAAGCCCAGTATGTATCAAACTCTCCTGGACAATACTGCTGTTTTAAAATAGGAGCATCTCTAGTTGAAGGTAATTTCTCTTCCCTTCCCTCTGTCCAGGCATTCAAAATAACCACTTTTATGGGAGCAAGTAGGAACCTGATCTCCAGAGAGACGACAGTACAGTTTTATACCAGTCAAACAACCAACATCTGCAGCATTAAATATTTTACATTCATAAGGCCATAATACAGCAGAACTGCAGGTGTCTTGCTGCAATGAAAACTGCAAGCACTTGTCCTTGAAGGCCAATTAACAGTGATTTACAGCACTGAAGAATGCTTCTCGGGAAACTTGTAATAAAACTAATAAAATCAAAATAATTGCTCTTCGTTTTTTTTTTCAGCCTAATTTTATTAGGCCAAAAAAAAGAAGCTCATCTTGCGCAACTGCCTAATTTCCAGGAAGATTAATCTTTTACTTTGGAACCTGTCTTCGTTTCATAAAAGTTTCCCAGGGAAACTCAAGTAGGGATTTTGAGAAGCTTGGAAAAAAAGCAAGCAACAAGCCTTGCCGTACTCGAGCACGTTCCATCTGGCATAAGCATGTAGCCGTTCAGACAGTAGCACTTGTAGCTGCCGTAGGTATTCATACAGCGGTGTTTGCACGGCCGTGGCTTTAGTCCACACTCATTCAGATCTGAAATGAAGGGCACAAGGGAAGAGGGTGGGAAAAGAAAACACACAAAGTGTGCATGACAAAACTACTAGCTCAAGTTGCTGATGAAAGAAGGAAAAATATGGCAATTAGCTTTTTATATGCAGTTCAGCTGATAGCAAGTGTCCAGAATGTTCTGTGTGAAGCACTGTTCCTCCCTCCTGCCAAGTGGCTTATTTTCTTTGGTTTCATTGATATCTTTTCAGAAATGATAGCATTAGTATTAGATGAAGTGCCAACCATTTCATTAGGGAACGCACAAGCTCAGGATGCCACTATTCATGTTGATGCCATGTCCAGGACCAGCCAGCACTCTGAAGGAGCAGGAGGAGGAAGAAGAAAGCAAATGTCACTCTGTAATCACTATCAGCAATTCTGATAGCAATTCAGTGATTCACTACCATGCTTCAAAATGAGTTGCAGAGGAAGGTAGGAAAGTTGATGCTAACCTACTTTAAACAATCTCACAGAGAAAAATTTTTATTTACTATCTAAAAATACTAAAAAAAAAAAAAAAAGTATCTGACATCAGTTATATTTGTCAAGGGCTATCCATGAAGGCCTGTATTCTAGATTTACAATTTAATACAGAATTTAATACAAAATATTCAGCCTACAATTTCCATATTAGTAGACAGGGCTTTAAACAAGAAGTAAAGATTGAGTGATTTCCTTCAGAATTCTCTTCCAAGAATGTGTTGATATTAACTGAGTAAACCAGAATATTTTGTTACTTAGTTATTTGTATGTTGATGAACAAAGACGACAACAAAGGTGAAAGTAACAAATCTATTCACAAATCCAGCCAGTGAGTACTTAAAAAACTGAGTTACCGACCATCTTTAATATTGCACAATGCTCTCTGGAACTCTGTCACAGAAGGAAAACTGCCATTATTTCCAGAATTTTTCAAAGAGCCATCTTCCACTATTAAGCACTATCTCATCAAGTGTCAATCCCTCATCCATGTAGCAGAAAAGCAAGCCTTGGCACTCCTACCATGTGGTAGACCCACACACACAGTAGTCACTTCATAAAATAACTGAGGAGGCAACACATACTTTCTGTGGGCTAGAGGTGAAGGCTCAGGGTTAAGATGTTAAAACAGAAAGATAAATTTACCTCTTGTTAGAATAAAGTCAGTAATGAGTTGATTGCTTTTCAGACTAAAGTAGAAAACTTAGTGAGAAAAGTTACAGTCACTGTAGAGAAGAAATCAGAGAAAACATTGCTTCTGAACAACTATGCCTGGAATTTTTCAAGTTCCTGATGTTTGGATTTTAAATTAATCCTGAAACACTGTAATCACTTAGTTTTAGAGAGCAAGATTCTTCATCTTATTCTTTTCAAGTCAAAATATTTTTAAATAGCATTCTAAAACTGAGAAATACTTTCCCTTTCATTTTGACTGATAAAATGCAGAGCCACCAAGAGAAAAATAAATGTATCAGACTAAAAGTCACTGATGAAATCCAAAAGCAGCCAGAAGGATGTTGCCTCTTATGTCACTGCTGCTCCTGAGAGCTCCTAACAGTGTTTATGTGTATCATAAAATCTGTTGTCTTCTGACCTACTTTGTTTTCATCTTCATGGGGTCAAGGAATACTGAGTGAGATATTTACCCTTCCCCTCAATCCTTCCCTTAACTGATGGATATGACCTACTTTACTTCATTTTCCAAGGCCTCGGGAAGAGCAGCATGTTTAGAGACAAGAATACTTCCTGTTCCCCTCTTCCACAGGAGGGTAGTGGTAAGGAATAGAATTTTCGCTTTCTTCCTGTGGAAGGCTGACCAAGACATTTCTAGGAAGCCTGAAGGGGAATATTTGCTCCTCAAGTGGTGAGAAAATCAGGTGAGCATACGCAGGACTTCACTGAGGAAAGGTTGCCAAAATAAGGGCTAGACCTATGCCTGATAAACAAGGAGTGATGACCATCCCCGCAGTCCTCCTGTGGATCACGTGCTGCACAAAGAGCACTCCATTTCAACTCTCACTTTATGGGAGTTTCGGTAGTTGCTAGGAGAACACACTTCTCCCAACAGGCACCAATGCCCCAGTCACAAAAAAAAAAAATGCACCTGCTAGGTTTGAGAGAAACAGCTGTAGAAGAATGTACGTTTAGTCATGTGGAAACAGACCTGCAGGATAGCATATGTGCCTAGGTCAAACGGGAATGCAGCAGGTGATTACGTTAGAGGGGAAGGACAAGTTTTCATTGTGAAAACCTTTGAGTAAAATAAGCTTTACATAAAAATGTTCAATAACAAACAGATGAAAGCTCACATTTTGGAAGTTAAACGTCTCTCGGCAGCACCAAAAAAACCCCTGCTTTATTTTTCCTTTCTTCTGTAAAACATACAAATAGGCAGCTCCTGACAGACATTATAACTACATGAACATATTTATTACATATACAATGTGTCTGTTAAAAAAGTCATTATTAAATTAAAAAACTCTGCTAGCATTTGATTTCAATTCATAAGTGTATCCCCAAGGAGCCTACACTATTGAATATACTGAGGTTCGCTGACGTTCATCATTTTGAGATGTAAAGTAAGAGAAAGTAAAAAGTAAGAGGAAAAAAACAGTCCCCCATGTCTAAGATACATGTATTTTTCTTCTTTTGTACAAAAAGCATGACTTCACAAAACAAATGCGCAACAGAACTAAGTATAAAATACTTAACTAGAAGTAGGGGCAGAACAAGGAAGGGTAACATTGAAATTAAGTTGACAGAGCAGCATTTTAACAGTGTCTTGTGTTAACTTTTAGTGCTTAAATCCCCCTGCAATTCAGCTCCTAAGTTTAGATACTCCTGAAGACTTAAGAAGTGTCTTGCACTTACTTTCAGAGTTATGATCACAGACTCAAAGTTGAAAATCATAAAAATTTATGACTGTTCCCAGTTTACCATCTTGAATAAAGTATAGATTACATTATGAGCCTTAAATAATTGGATCTCTCTGTAGGACTCTGAATTCTACATCACCATTTGGTACAAAATATTCTTAGTACAGAAATGAAAGCTCTGGTACTGACAAATAGACAGCTATTAGTAACATACTCTGAGAATAACCTGATATTATAAAGCAAGCACAAACAACTGTATTACGATATCATATCACATGCTTTCTATTTGTGGAATTTTGGCTTTAAATTATTTCTATTGCCTTCATTTCATTATATTTCTGTCTATGAACAAATGCTGTCCAACTCCTCTGATTCACATCTTAAAAAAACACCTTGAAAAATTAAAAATTTTAAGTTTGGCTGATGTAACAGAAACCTAAGGTCACCAGACAGCAAAAACAGGCTGTTAGCACAACTCCACTTAAACCTAAATCTCATATGTCATTTGTCTTCACTTTTGCCTTTGAAACTGGTTATTGAGAGAAAGATGTTTTTAACCTTATGGAGTCAGAATGAATACTACTGTTCAGGAAAACAAGTACTGTCAATGCTATGGCTGCTTAAGAGAAAAGCCAGCCTGCAAACAGATTAGGTGTGTTAGAGCATACTGCTCAGCCCATCTAATTTTTCCCAAAATGCAACTTTTCTTCTTTTTAGCAGTGCAGACAGGCACATACTCAGAAACCACATGACAAGCATCACACAGTTCCCTAGGAGGCATATTGTACAATTCCTAGCAGGTCCTACTAGTTCTGCATAAAGGCCTGTATGAATATGCTTACAGCTCCCTTGAGCCACCTCCATGCACCCATAATCTGCAGCAGTATACTTCCCTAAGAAATGTCCGGATGTGCTGCACAGGGACAGGGAGTATTCCTGCTATTTATATACTGCTATTTAGATCTGTTTGAGTGTTTCTTTTTCCTTAAGTAAAGGCTACTTTTCAAGAACAGGCTCAGGTAAATATCAGCAGCCAAAAAAAAATCAGCCATAGCAACATGGCTCTTGAAGAAATGCCAGTTACTTATCAATTGTATATTTCAAGCAGCATCTATAAAGACATCACAGTAGAAATGTCTATGCATCAAAAGAGGAAATAAGAAAACAGCAGAAGTTGCCTCTAAAAAAATTGAAAGCTAAAATGTATAAACTCAAAGGGTAATAAAAATAACACTTTTACATCGTTTTTTATTTTAATAAAATACGATAATTTCTTTTAGTCACTTATAACCTCATACCAGCATTTAAAATATAAAGTGTAACACTATTAAAAAGTTTAGCAAACCTCTTTTATTTTCTTGTGGGGATGTCCACTCACTGTCCTATACCTGGGAAATTTCACTGATCAGCCATTTAATTTCCCACATTGCCTACAACTGTACAATCAATACAAAACCAGCGTTCTTAATTTCAAAATAACATATGACAGTACTGCACATAAAAACAGACGGACAGTTTTGAGCACTATGGAAAGCACGTTCATAACAAACATAGGCTGCTGATCACAAGTATTTTATTTTTTAAAGATTTTTAAAGAAGTGAAATGAAAATGTGAGTACAAGGAAAGGACAAGTGCCTTTGCTGGCAAATCCAGATGTGACTTCTTTGGTTGCTGCGTGGCGCCACACACGATCTTGGACCAACTTCAGTGAACATTTAACAATGGGGCATTTATCCCTAGCAAGATACAATACACTGCTATTTTTAATTAGCTTCTGCAGACTCCAGCACTCAGTTTTCCTGCCTTTTTCTATCTATTAGCTAACTTGGATCAAGCAACACAGAAGTCAAATATTCAGTACCTCATTCACTCAACTTTGAAAATAGAAAACCAAAGACCAGAAACCAAGTACAAAAATTAAACTGTTATCACCATGCTATAAAGAGTAGATCAGCTTTCATTTCCAGCAACTACCATCACACTACCATGTCAAACTCTTGAGAGATTTGTAACCCCTGAAGAGAGTTTTGTTCACATCACTTAGTGTGATTAATCAGTAGCTGCCAAATGCAGAAGTTAACCCTCATTTTCTTCAACTTCCAGCTTTATCTAAATCAATTTCATCTTTATCTAACCTGATAATCAATTTCCACTGCTCTCACTTTACAAAGGAACTCAGAAAAAAATAAAAAGGGCAGGCCTTGAAAGAAGAGCAGAGGAAAGAAACAAATGCCAGTGACAACCATGAGTGTGGTGGAGAGTCAATACTTTCCAGAATACAGACATAGAACATCAAGGTAATACAATCAGTTATTTGCTCTGCATGCTAATGGCACTGCAGGTTCAGCTTTCCCATCACAGCCATCCATCTATTAGCCTCCATCCCCTTTGCAAGAAATTGTACTACTGCTTCAAGCCGTGCAGGTAGAAGGATCACACCACCTGACACACAGGACCACCTCACCCCTTGACACCATATTTCTTGCATGATGATCCCAGGGGGTGGAATAGAAGTGTTTCACATGGCAAGAACACATACCCTGATCCCAGGAACAGCTCGAGGGTCTCATCATGTAATACAATAGCAGTAGTCACCTGAACTGGTGGACATTTGGGGCACCACAGTCAGGAGGCATCTCAGAAACCACATGCACCTCAGTCGGGGCAACTTTGTCACCAATACCATGCAAGAATATTTGATCAATACTGCCTAAAAGACTTCCTTTAATCATTTATCAACACACTATTTTCCTTCCATAGCATTTAGTGGCAAGTACATAGTTTAGTTCAAGATTGCAGCCTCCAGCAGCTTGCACAGCATTTTTTTTATATTATTAAAGTAACTAGTACATATAAAACCTGTTCCATATTCATCTAACAACTGCTAGTTCACTGCATTGTTTTCTAAAAATGTTCTAGACTGACTAAAACATGTATAGAATAAAATCATAACAACCCATCCTTTAAAATGTCAGCCCAAAGTAAGAGGATAAGAAGACAGGATAATTTGAGAGATGACAAACCTGTAAAAAAACTGAAAAACACAACATTCATTTCCACATCAGTTCAGGAGGGATTAGTAAATCCCAAAATAAATATGCATCTATTTTTAAAGAAAATAACTCTAAAATTCAACACATCATAAGAAGGTTAGCCAACATCAGGGTCCATTTTTCAACAACAAAACCGTTCTAAATATCACATTCTTCTACCATACTTCCTCAGCACTCAGAAAATGCATTAACTTTTCCTGTAGGCTGAGACAACTGAAAAAGAGAACAGTCTCACTGAGATACCTTTGTTTGTATGTTTGATGCTTGGCCAACAAAATCTAATAAATCATGTATTACAATTCTGTTTTATACTCTATGATCTTTATACCATGACATGTTTAGGAAGTAATTTTCAGGAAAAAAAAACAAACTATGAAACTACATTGATAATTCAGTAAAACAACACTTAATCTTTACACCAACTCTTCAGTATGTAGTATAATTTGTTGCTACCTAGTTAGTTCATGATTAGAAAAACAAAAATGAGAATGTATGAATGATAGGGTTTTTTAATTAACCAAATACTATCCGAAACTGAAAATTGTGACCTTGTAAAATAACAATCCTGATCACAAGTTTTAAATAATTTGTTTCAGATTCAGGAGAGCATGTAAATACATACTATATACTATTCACATTGATTTCAGATTAATGAAAGCCATTTTTCCCCTGTGTCATCCCACTGCAGATGTCATTCTCTTTACAAATGTCAGTCCCGATCAGAATAGCTACAGCAGTAACAGACCTGGTATATGAGTTCATTACCCTATAAACACAGGTGACACACACAGCATTGGCAGAAGGGGGTAGAAGGATCAACAATACTTCCATAACTTCAAAAATAAACTATTTCTTACCTTGGTTGCAGGTTTTTCCAATGTAACCTGGGTGGCACTTACACTTGTTTGGCCCAATGCATTCGCCATGTTTGCACCCTGGCTGGCATATAGCTGCAAGTAGAGGAATACTCATTATTTTTCCACTCCAGTTACAGTTGACAGTGCTTTACTTTGAAACAAATGGCAATGACCTAACAAATAGTACTGTTTATGTTCCTCCCATCAGCAATATTATATGCTTCAAATGCCACTGTTAACATCAGGTGCACTTTCAAAACCAACCACCACCCCAATACTTGTGGGAAGAGGGAGATACTTGTAAGTAGTCTATTTTTGTACAACACTACTACATCATGCTGTTTCTGGGATATTAAACTCTTTTAATACCTAATCAGCAAGCAGGCACTATGCCTTCACTTGCTCTGTGTATGTATGCATGTTCTATGATTTATGACATTAAATTTGATAAACCTGGAATATGCCCCAGCTACATAGAAAATGTGTACCTCAATGTCCTTGGCAACACAAAAAGCCCTTGTGCAGTTATTAGTAGGCAGTAGTAGAGGTCCCAGCATTCACTGCTTTCCTCTATGACCACAAGGCAACACTCTTTACCCCCTCACTGAGCAACATTTTGCCTGAACCTCTCCCTTTTGGGTGCTTGGATTCTGGTATAGGAATTGCTTTTCTTTTTTTCTGTCTCTCTCTTTTGTTTTGGAGGAAAAAAGAACTGGGCAAAAGCAACCTTGACTGTAATACACTACTTTATCACTGCACACATCCAACTCACTTCTCTGAACATTTCAAGCATTTATTATCCACCCTGCTGTTTAGATACAGTCTCAGAATGTACAGACCATAGCTCAGAAATTATGGTCTCTTCTGCTTCCAGAGACAAATAAACACAGTACTCCAAGAAATAGTAGTTAGGAAGCCATTTTTTGGTACCTCTCTCAATATAACACAAACAAAATTCTTAAAGCAAACTTTTAGAACTTCAATAACACAAAGATAAGCATTGCTTTTGAAGAAATATGAGAATTCATGCACAAATTTAGTTATACTGATGTAGGATTAGCTAACAGGAGTATTATCAGAGTGCAATGAATCCTGCAAAGCTCCAGAAACCATTTGACAGATTAAAATTTTAAACATTTCCAAGTTCTCTTTATTAGAAATGTTTTTCTGTTACAAAACATACTGTTTCAATCTAGTGGAAAAGTGAAGTATTTACTATGCTCTGTAATATTGTTTATCATTATATGATAAAATGCAGATGCAAAGTTCTGGTGAGCTCACTGTTTAAGCAAGACAGACACAAAATAGACAGAAATCAGAGGGTGGCATAACCTTATTAGCCTGTAATCAGGATTTATCTATTTACCCTGGCTTTAAGTTCATTTCATAAAGTAACAGTATCATTTGGAATTTGCAAAGTAATTAACTAGATCCAGCTGTAATATTAATTAATTTGACAACAGGCTGTATCATAAACCTGGATGTATTAAGGATGTAATTTAACAGAAATCTCCACACTCAAAAATGTAGCTTGCATTCTAGCCAAGCTGTTCAACAGAGTTGAATTAAACAAAACTAAGACAGAAACAAGAGATTAGTTTTGGTTGTGGAAGAACCATGCAAATACATCTCTGACCTTTTAAAATCTTTTCCATAAGGTTCAAAGCATCCAGAATCAGCAATTCCCTCAAATACATATATAGAAGCAACTGTTCACATAGAAGGAGTTTGCTCCAGTTTTAGGACTGCATTTGCCCTTTATTACCATTTTTGTTTAAACATATTATATACATATAGTCAGTGATATCCACTGATAACATAAAGCCTTGTTGTAAATCTACAGCACTGCTCTTGACAGAACTTTCTAATATGATGGTGAGGTCTCTTTCCAGAAAATTGTGTTAAGGAATATCTTAAAAGGCAACAGAAAAGGATGTTTCTTAATTAATGTAAGATTTTTTTTTTTCTCCAATACACGCTGTCCAGAAAAAAATAAATGGGATTTAGATTCAGAAACACCTCTCACTGACAGTGTAAAAGAAAGGGGCTTCTTAGACTACTAAAAGGTATGTTTCAAAAAGTATGCTATGCCCTTACAGAATGGACAGATCTGACTGAAGAGCAACTGCTACATCATGAGAAAATTCTAGAACATTGTACTTGGAAACATTTACTGCTTTTTTTAACCACAGTGGTCATAAACATAAAAAAGTGTCTTTGTGCAAGAGCTCATTTAGACACTGAGACTCATCTTCCTGACATCACAGACCCAAGTCCAATTAGAGGTGATGGTGGCAAAATGAAAACTGTGAAGACCAACTTCAAAGTCACTAGGGAAAAAGAAAACGTGATCTAAACCACAGGAGAAAAAAAAAGAAATTACTATAAATATGTTTTTGAAAGTTCCCATTAAATTTCAACCGCACTTCAAAGAAGATCCATATTGTGAAGTGGGATACACTTATTTAAATAATTCCTTTTAAAAAACCCCATGGGATCAGCTTGGTGTGAAATATAACAGTTCAATAGCTTAACCTGTGGCAACTTCAGTTTAGCTGACTTTAAAGCCTATGTTTCTCCCTCAATTGCATAAATTGTACATTAGCAGCAGCTCAGATAGAGGAAAAAACCCTCATGCTTGAAGATGAAAAGCCTTCTAAAATTCAGTTATGAAATAAATGAGATTTTAATTTCATTTAGAAATTAAAATGTTCCTCTAATTCAAAAGGTCAAATACATTTGTATTAGGAATCAGATGTTTTGCTTAATTCTCTTAGTTACCCAAGCAGGTCATATATTGTAATGAATAAAAACTATGTATTAGCTTTGTTTAAAACAACTTCTACAGATATGAAACATGCAACACAGGCCATGTTATTACATCATGGAATTGGATCTATGGGATCTCCAAAATCTAGTTCAACACATCTCAACAAATGTAGTTCCACTTTATGCATGATATAATGTCTTGTATTACATACAGGTGGGTAACTGCTGATCTAGTCTACCTCCTAGTCTCAAGATACAATTAAGAAATGCACTTAAATCACATGACAGATATGTCTCTTTTTTGTTTTTAAAAGTCTCAGTTAAAGGAGATCTCATCCCCTCAACAGTCTACAGCTCAAGAATCTCTACTACTCCAAGGAAAGCTTCCTAATGATTAGAAAACCACTATCCAGAAAGTCAAAGTCATCATAAAATGCTTTTTTTTGCATATTAAACAGGTATTTGGAAAACTTTGTGTGCTGCCAAACACTGTACTTGAAGAAATCCTGCTTATTAGAGTACATTCTATGCAATTTGGCTACTTAAGCATTATGCATCTTATTTACACACAGCTGACATTCAATACAGTGTTACAACTGAAGAATTTCTATACACAGGAGAAATATATACAGAAATATATACAGAAAACTGTATATTTCTATATAGAGTTTTAGAGTTAACATAGCAACATCTGTAACTCAGCCAACACCGTAGATAAATCTCATGGCATTTCCCATGAGGAATCAAGCCACTCTCACAAATGGTCTTGTATATCCTCCCACTAACTGTAATGGGGCTTTGTAGGGTGCTCAGGACTTAAGAATCAGATGGTGTTCAAGCAAGCCTGCATACCTGGCTGGGGTTCCACCAAGGTCATCTGCATGCCCTTCCCACTGATCCCTACCAGAGTGACCAGGCCCAGAGAGGTGGGCCAGCTCCAGCTCTGCCATCTGCATCCTGCAAATATTCCCTCCCTTCTCCAAAGGAAGAGATGCCCTTGCATGGCAGCAGATACACTCACTGACTCACAACGGGTTCTATTTAAACACTCTAAACAATGAGATCTAGGTATAAAAATAAGCTTAAGCCTGACTTTCAGCATTTCTTTTAATAGCAAACGACTATTTCAGCTGTTTGGTATGAGCCTGAGCATATACTATGTGTGCCGATGTGACTGGGTGTTTTCTTTTAATTTTTCCACTCTACTTGTTTTCTTGCAAAATTCCAGATACAATAGACCAGAATATTTCAGTCGCTCTGCTCATACACAGACACATGGAGTTTATCCATTTTTTAAACAGAAGTAGACTCCCAAGTAGCAGGGAAAAAAGTCTCCCAATTAGTATTTTCTGCATCTTAACAAGTAAAAAATTCCTCCACAACCAAGAAACCATCATTTGCCTCCAATCAACGCACATTTACAATGACTGAAATAAGCCATGTCGATTGACTTCAGCCTGTTATGTAATACTTGTTTCCCTACTAGGCAAAAAGGAAATGTAGACAGTGGAGAGGTACACCAGGCTGAGAAAGTCACTTAGGGCAATGAAGTACAGAAGATAAGAGTGTGAGAAAGGTTGACAAAAAGAAGCAAAACCTTTCTACTCAAAAATAGCAATTGTTTTAAACAAAAGTTAAATTTACGCTTGTATAGAAAAGTGCCACTAAAAATGAGATTGCTAATTTATTTTTGAATCAGTATCAAGATAGGCCTATCACTTCTCCAAGCATTCCTCTCTGAAAAGTGTTAAACTGTACTCCCATTGGGTAGTAGTGTGGGCTGAGATAGACAGAAAAAAATTCCTAAGCACAGCTGTTTTTGACTTCAGTCAAATGTTGCTTATTTTATCTCTGCCACTGAATAAACTATAACCAAACTTCCCTTTTCATTTTGTTGACCCATCCATTCAAGAGACATCAGCAAATAAACTCTGCACTCAAGAGTATTCATTTCAGTTTGATCATTTTAAATTCTTTTTGTTGGGCTGGATGTGAAGATTTGCTCTTTCTCATTTCCCACTAACTTCAATGGAGTCAAGGAGGTATCCTGAAGTCTTTTATCTGGCCATAAATCTAATGGAGTACCCATTTTAAAGGTTGACAAGAACTACCTTTTTCCTCCAAAATAAGGTGAAAATACCACATTTTAAGTCTCACTTAAACTTCAGGACAAATTAAACTTTCTGTAAAAATAACACAAGGAATTGAAACGTGAATGAGTGGTTTAGGCTTATAACTATGTTTTTGGGTTTCTTTTCAATTGTGGAAGAGAGGAAGGAAGAATTTCTGATGAAATACATATGCTGTTAGCATGTGTTATGCTTGTGTAAAAGCCAGAAGCCACCAATCTTCCCAGCCACTGATTGCTGCTGGTGGTATTTGAGTATGACTCAACCATTCTGAATTATTTTTTAATTGCTGCATAAATAAAACAAAACCACATTCAACCTATTCATTACGGGTCTATAATGCTGGTTTTCTAAATTTCACCTGTATTTTCTCCTTGCACACAGTTCCCTCAGAACAGCTTTGGAAGTACCCCTCAGGCTTTGTCAGTTCCTCTGCACTAAGCTATCCACGTTTTGATGGCATGGACATGCTGTCCCCCTCTGTTCCTTCTCATCTAGAATTTTAAGGTCAATGACTTAATTCTTGATTACTAAACACTGTTTGGTGGAGTCCTAACCAGACGGTTGCAATGCCTGGTTCCTACCTGCCTAACTCCTTCTCTTCATTTTTTGGCCAACAATGGAAATCCCTGAGCTTTCTTAGTGGAGTATCTCTAGCAATTTAACTTTTCATTGGTTTTTTTTCCAACACTCCTAGCTATGTTTCATCAAAACAGCATTGAGTGTAATTCTTATGTTCTTTTTCTGTGCTTTGCCTCTTAACTTCTGTTCCTTAATAGAGGGTTTCTTTGCCAGAAGTTGCCCTCAGAGTCTTTCACTGCTTTTTGCATCCCTCCACTGAAATCTGCCTCAAAATGCCAAGCTGCAGATGTCCAGCCTGTCCTTGAACTTCTGTTTTCACCTCTCTGAATCTAAAAATATACACAAAATACCTACATCTGAAACAACCTATGCTGACCATCTGCCTGAACAATCTTGTTTCTGCCCTCTCTTCCCAAGTAACATATACCCCCTTATTTATTCTGACTCCAGATCCCAGCTCCTTAACATTCAGTTTGCTCAAACACAGAAAGCAATTTGTGCAGCAGCCCAGAAATGATTACATACTATTTAGTTCCACAAACTTTTATTGGATCCTCTTACACTGATGACTGCAGAACTTCCAATCTTAAGATTGCTACTTACATTCCCCTGGTGCCAATTTTATAACAAGACTTGCATGCTGATGAAAGAAACTTTCCTCTCTGCTGCCTCCCTCAACTGAACCTGGCTGCCTTTCTCCCATGGTGCTAACAGACCACAACCTCAAGTTCTATCATACTTTTCTTCAGCTCACACCTGTCACTTTCTATTTTACTTTTTGCAGTTCTCTGTAAATTATGCAATTGCATAAACACACACTCAGGAAAATTAATCTGCCTTACTCACAGTAATTTTGATCGAGGATCCCAAAGGTATGAGTCAATTTGTAAAATAAATCACTGTAACTCTTTCAGAGTTACATTCTTTTTTGTTCAACTACATACTTCAACTAGTCACAAATATAGGAGAATGCATAAAGCTTAACCCACCTCAGAGTTACCAGTAGGTGGTAAAAATGCATCATACCCACAACTCACATTACAGAATTACTTCCAAAAAAGTGACTTTGCTTCCCAAATAAGTGTATTAGTAGTCACAATATATATCTCTGCAGAGCTTAATAAGCCTGACTAGGGCAACTGGGTATTAATTTTCAGATCATTTCATCTGCACAACATTCCTTACTCTATTTTTGGGGAGATAATAAATGTCCTTGACCAATTTCTATAACTAGTAACTGATAATATCATCAGATAAAACAGTAATATCTAATGCCTGAATATTTTTCACGAATTACTTGCCTTTATTTGTGCCATCCATGACAACAAATGTTGTCAAAATGCATGCTAAAGCTTACATCTAAAACATACAGTTCCATTACATATGCAGCTCCTAATTTTTCATGCACAACTACTACATTTGCCTGGGTAAATCAGTTACTCCATTTGCACATATGATTCCGGTAACAGCACATTAACATGACAAACTGCAACCAGTGTGGGCTATTCATTGCAGTGAATTCTTTGCTTGGCTATGACTGCTGCCAAATGTGTTTCTGAACCGCATGGACAAATCCAGACTCTGGTTCATGAATGCCTTCCTATTCAGAACAGCACTAAAAAGCATGCGTAACTTAAGCATGGGCTAAATCAACTGGATTTAATGAAGTCAGTGGAAGTTAATCTAATGCTTATATACTTAGATACATCTGATCTAACACATGTAAAATTAGAAAAGCAAGAAATATTTCATGCTTTGTCTATCTTTCCATGTTTGCATTTCAAGTCGTTCATTACAATTGCCTAAAGAATGGCGCTCTATCATCTCAAATGTCTGTTCATTACCTGAAATCCTTCTACGTGTCTACTGAATTCCAACAGGCACAAGCAGGCTAGCATGAGTGTCTCTATGCCTGGTGGCAGAAGACAAAGTGAGCCCTACTGCTATTTTGTTTTTTCAAATGTAACATTCCCTGGCTTCATCAAAGTAACTCCTGTATCACAGAAACAAAGCTGACTTTCCCAGACAGATGAAGAGCTGATTGATGTGCTCCCCCCCAACCCGTCTGAAGACCGGCACCCCTGCCACAGGGGTAAGCAAACAAGACATATTAATTCCTGAGCATCAGGAGACTACAGCCCTGAGTACCAACGCAAACTAGTGTTGATTTCATTTTGCTCTGACATGCCAGGTTGTACACTGCTGCAGACCAGGGGCTGTAAAGTCTCCCTGTTCTGGGAACGACAACCTGCAGCAGAAGTGCAAAGCAGGCAATGGGGGGCAATAAGTGCCTCAGCCATCCCAAATTAACCTCCCGTTTTTCATGATTCAATACTCTGAGAGCAAATTAGGCTTCCTAAATCTGATCGCTTGTATGATGCGAAGAGTATAAACAATTTGCAGGAAGGAAAATATATTGCCCAGGGCTTGAGGGTAAAATAAAGAAAAAGAACAAGAGTGAAAAGGGAAAAGTGTAATAGTTTAGAAAATAAGTATCTCATTGGGTGTCTGGGATAAAATAGCCCTGTTAATTTCCTTCCCGCCTTATCTTCCCCAAATCAAGTGTTTTGTTTTATTTTTTAAATCTATATCTTCTTGTCATATAATTTTTATGTAAACTGATGACTTAGAGGCCGTAACTCCAAGTCATAACCTCGCCAAAGTTATTTCAAGAAATATATTCAGCTAACCTTTGGGCTGGCACCTTAGGCTGGCTATTCTCTGCCTTAAGACGTAGAACGCTGCAAAACAAATATCCAAAAAAGAAATTCCAGCTTTTTTTTTTTTTTTCCTGTAAGGAGGATGGACTTGGTTGGGGTTTTTATCAACTTGTTACATTCCTGGAGAATTACACACATTCAACATTCAGAGCTTTTCTGAAATAAAAAAAATTCTGGTACACATTTAAAAGTGGAAACACCTTACATCAGTATTTCATTATGAGATTTAACAAATACATTCTGAAATATAAGAGTAATTAAATATAATGATGTGATGCTATTCTTATTCAATCAACTAAGGAGCTACACTTTGTCATGTTTCATATGGTATATAGTTGTAAAAATTCTCATGTTTCATGGTTTAGGTTCAATGCTTCCATCAACAGAACATAAATTATTTTCTTAAAGAAACAGTATCCTTTCATTTAAATATAGGTATATATTTTTAATTTAATGCTGCATCTCCAGAGCAAACATGAAGTCTTAGCATCTGGATGCTAATTCGAGAGCAATTAAAATTACACTCATTTATAAGTATCTGAACATCTGCAACCAATAAACCTGTTGGCAAATAAATTTACTGGTCATTTTTCTAATGTTTAAAAATTTAATATCATCTAAATTAAAACTAATACTTAAAGACCTTTTCAGCTCTTACTATCACATGAAAAAAGATATGCTACAAAATTTAAATAAGATGGAAACAGATATATGTTTAGGCTACTTTAAATCAAGTTATTTGCCAATAAATTTTATATTAGCAGAATAACTTGTTAGGCTACGTAGCCTTATTAAAGGAGACTGGGAGTTAAGCAACAGCAGCTCTTCGTATTTTAAGGAGTATTTTACCCACACTTAGGGGTTTTCTATGACTGTAACTTCTACTGATTTAAATAAGTTTTAACTAGAAAGTCCCTTAGCATTTGTTACAGTGGAGAGAGTCTCCCCAGGTTGTTGCTGGGCTTTGAGAGAAGCTCCAGATACAAACATACTAAAGCTGTAAACAGACAAATCACATAAGTGTTGAGATTTTCTTGGGAAAAAATGGGCTGCAAAACTATTACTCCATGTATGAAGTGCGTGAGGGATGCAGCAGGGAAGTAGAAAAGGATACTGTATCTTTAACATAGTAAAGTCATAACTGCTTTAAAAGCATAAAGATTCTAAACTGAAAAAAAGAAAAGACCAACTGAATAAAAATAGCAAAACCTCATTTTTTTTTCTTCCATAGCAGCATAAAGCAGTACTGCAATTCTGTATAAAATGTCTTTTCTTTGAAAAGTACCAGGGATGCACAAAAATATTGGTCATTTTATAAGAAGCAGACATTCTGCACATCAGTATTCATTAAACATTGTCAACACAATGTATTAATACAGACTGTGTTCTTGCAATCACAAATTCAGCAGCAAAACTCGTACTAAGGATGTTTCTGCTGATCAGCGTCCTAGAAGCCAATATTTTCACAGCTCATTATCGGCACAATCGTGGTTTTATTTTTGTGCATCGTGGACTATACAGAATTGCCGTTCCCACTGAAAGCATTGTTATGTGCAAGAAACAGAAGTCCTAAGCAGCTCGTGGCCTCTTCTCCCATTGATGCATGGGATGATTTATGGGGGTAAACTCCCATTAACATTAGTTATACAAAATCTCCTTCTGTGCATCAATGAGAGCACAGCCACCTCTTCCTCCCCCTCCCACTACCTTGCATCTCCGCAAATAGATTTGCACAGCCTTTAAGCTCGTTAGGACAGGAGCAGCAGGATAGACACAAAGTTTCTTCACAACCCTTATAAAAGGCAACAGCATGCACAGTTCCCAGCAAAGCACTCAGTTACGCCTGCATCTGTTATGTATCAGCTTGTACAAGCTCCCCCCTTGCACTTGCAAGTCCTTTTAAGAACTTCCTGAAATTGGATACTTTCTACTAGGCTTGACTAAATCTATATGCTAACCTGACGGCCTTCAATTAACATTTTTCAATGACGCAAAGCTAAGGGGAGGTGTAAACTGATGGTTTGACTTTACTGTATACCTCCTGATTGCTTGGTCCCTAGGCTTTTAAACCAATTTTCAAGGGTTTAGTGCAAGGTGGCGGGAAACTACTTTGCTGACCTATTCTGGGTTTGCTCCCTAAGTAACACACAAACCTCAGCACAGGGAGACAACCAGATGGAGTTACAACAGATGGGTGCTCTGAAATGACACACTCATCTTCACCTTCTCAAGACAGACTTCATAGACTTTGTTATCATCTAAGAAGAATTACACATAGAAACGAGTGAAGTAATCAAATAATATCACTGTGTGTAAAATCCATGTTCAGTGGGATTTTATTCCTGTTAAGAAACTTCTGTTGGTCAAACTTGCTGCCATCAGACAAAATCTGCTGACTCCAACAGCCATGTAGACTCCTGACAACAGAGGATCCAATAGTAGATCTGCATCTATTTATAGCAGCTGCAGATCTAACCTTGTATTCTGTACATAAAGGAACACAGCAAAAAGAACCATTTTGCTATCACCTCTAGCAAAGGAGTTGTCCAAACTGTAAACCAGAATGATAATTCAAGGTGTTTTATATTGCTTTTCTTAAAAAATTCTTGCTTAACCTTTTAAATCTATGTTAAAGTATTCTCTCTTTCTACTAGGTTATTGGCTGTTAAACTGAAGTTAAAATTTTGAAGCAGTCTTTACATCTTTAGTGTACCTTGACTACATACAACTATCGTACAAATCAATTACAGACAACAGCCATGTACAAAGCAGGTGTATTTCCTTCACAAAAGACACATACGAATGGAAACAATTTGTACAGCTTTTGAAAGAACTACATGGATATTTGTAAGCCAGCTAAAAGCAAGGCAGGTAGAACATTAGTTCTAAGAATAATTTTCAGGAAACCAGATCGGATTGGGGCAGAAACATCCACAAAGAATTATTTTTCAGATAACTCCTAGCACGGCCTGTTGGAAACTGAAGGGAAGACCTTCCACTTTCATACTGGAAAATAAAAAGCATCATACTGCTTCTCACACAACTCTCTGCATGAACTCAGGGCATTTCTTATCTAGGATTTTAGTTTTCTGATAGGTCAACCAAGTGCAGCATGTGAATATACATTCACAGTTGATTTCTCTACACTGTATTATCAGCAAGGGTCAATCAGCACCGGTTCCAAGGACTTTCCTGCTGCTTTGTCTATCTCTGACCTAACAGAGACACTTGGAAAACAAGACCCAGGTTATTCTTTTCTTGAGAAACACTCATCCCTGACAGCAGAACACTGCCACAGACATCTTATTAGGGGGATAATAGAACAGGCTGCACGCAGCAGGTTTCCCAGACTACAGTAGCTAAAATAGAGGAATGGACATGACTATTTTCTATTCTGCAGTTGACATTTCTCATCCAGTTCAAAGAACTGAGCTCCAACCCTACCACTGCTGGAAATTCTCTTCCCTCAGATATTTCAAACAATGAAAATCAATGCTGAATAACACATTAAAAAAAAAAAAACTTGAATGAACTTCCTAAGGCAATTCTTGCTGCTGGTATGCAGAAATACATTTGTACAAGATGCATGCAATGATTCATGTCCCAACTTGGTTTCACTGTGTCCTTTAAAACCCACTGAATGGGTTTTGGGTTAGGACAATACACTCAGTACCACAGATGCAGTTGCCTTACTTTTATTTAGGAAATAAAAATGCAACTATTGATACCTGCTCTCACCAGAAACACTCTGTCACAGGAAGTCATCTCTCCTACTCTGAGAAAAAGAAATCCAGAAGAAATTCTTTCTGCCCTCACTTTTGCTCTGGTCTATAGTTTTGCTGTGTGCACAATAATAACAGATAAAAAACAACCACCTTTTTTTTACACACATCTCATCAGCTACTTTATCAACATACCATCTTACACAGAGGTAGGCTTTTGTGTGATTACTCCCACTTAACAGCTATTACTCCCACTTCTACTAATTAAGGTGCAAGTAAATCCCACAGGCTGGGATTTTTGGACTAATTTCAACTGGGGTATATAATATCTAACTTTAAAGCACTGATGCTGTGAGTCCCTCAGTGTAAAGGAGGATCAGCTCTACTAATGATGAGGGCACTTCATGTGAACTAATAGTTGGTGCTTAAACAACATTTCTGCTGCTTACAAATTAGCCTTTCTACACACCGGGTTTAACTAATGAAACTGGTTTATATATCAAACCCAAACCTCAGAGAAGCTACTTAGTTACATTACTAATCAAATATATCCACAGTTCTAAATCTAGGCCACTAAATAACTGTGGATGGATTTTGAATTTACAAAGATTGAGAAACGCCAATGAATTTGAGTTACATTTGTTCAGCTCCTTTGAAAATCTCAAAATGCATCTAGCTGCCTAAACCTTGATCTTACTTTGGTGTTCACAACCTGCAAGAAAGAAAAAAAATCCAACCTGTTTCAAAGTTCTTGATTATTTCAGTTGGAAGGACAGCTTCTAAGTGCCTTTGCTGGAATTGGAAAGGGCACTGGGGAAGGGAATTTCATGTCACTGCAGAGTGAATATTTCCACTAGCTCAGACATTACAGCTGCCACTGACAGGTTTTGGAAGTAAGTTTACAGACAGATCAGATCTACACACACAAGTCTTGATTGGTTTAATTTATTAAGAGGAGACAGAGGAGGTTGTAAAGGAAGAGTGTAAATTAAAGGAGGGGCCCTATTTCAGCTTCTTCCTACATGTTTATAAGAGCAGAAGGGAGCAGAGTTATGCTGACTTGCGTTACTAAGCAGCAGTAAGCACGACTATGCTCTGTGTGCACTCCTTTGTCAGTCAAAGGGACATAAAAGGAATAACTCCACAATTCACAAAAGCAAGTTTAGCTAACACAGTTCAGTTTCCATTTGCAACTGTATGGATGGATTATGGATGAAAGATCAGGAGCATGGAATCACCAAGGCTTAATAAATTACCACTTGTCAGCTATGCTGCACTCCTGCCCCGTTAGAGCTGATATAATACAGGCTTAAACATTTGTCACAATTAAACCTTTACCTTAAATCACACAGTTGGTTTAAACTAACACGTTTTTTTCTCAATAGCTGTGGGCAGAGGCCATGCCACATGCATTTGGTGGAGCAGCTAAACTGGACAGCAGAAAACATATCCAGGTATGTTAGCGATCACTTGCCCATGGCATGTACACTATCATGTATCAGAGCCTATATGCCTGCTACACTCTGGCTCCAGCATGGCTCTCACCTTATACTTATTGTCAGAAGGATAAATTCAGAGGTAATTAGTGCCCACACAGTAAATTATACATGAGTAAGCAGGTGAGAGTCCAAAGGTGCTGTAGCATTTTCAGGCATACCAAGGATGGCTCAAACTAGTTTGAAAAAAAAAGCAGTTCAAGCTCACTAATAAAGAGCTCAGCACTATTGCTGGAATATTTAAAGCTTCTTTTTTGGAGTCATTTGTAAACTGGGTCTCACTACTAATTTTTAAGCCTGACTCTATACTTACTTTCATTGTGCAAATACAACTTATTCTAGAAACAACAAAGAAAACGTACATCTAGTAGAGAAAGTCTGACATCTATTTATGCCACTCATTTCACGGATAATACTCAGAGGTTTGCCTTTATCCATAGAGAAAGCTGAAGAAATAATCATGTACTTGGCTTTTTGGAAAATTTTCAGTGATATTCCTTTGTACAGTTAAATACTCAAGTTTTCCTTTGAGGCCAGGAATGCTGCTTTCTGTGCCAGGTTAATCCTTCATACTGGGTGCCACATTTCCAGGTGGAGAGTTGACTACAGATTTTCTATTTGGCTGTAAGCATTAGAAAGATTCACTTTCACTTAGTGTAATCTCCCATGTCATGATACGTCTGGAATTTTCACCACCCACAACTGGGGCAGATTTTCTTGCTTTATTTTGCTAAGAGGTTGGTTCCCATTTAAAACTAAGAAGGACCTGTCATGGTTTTGGTAAAGTTTTCACCCAGATACCTGAGTCTTTTCTGAATCAGCAATTAAAAATTATCAGCACCCAGTATGAAAAAGAAAAAGAGGAAAAAATGCCTTAGACACCTAAGTGATAAATGTATTCTTTTGAAAGTCTGGTCCCAGGTATTGGAGATGATCACAGAAAATACACCTCTACACGTCTTCTAAATGTGCGTGGAAAACAAATCTGTGAATAATGGACTACAATGCAGGGGAAGGAGGTGAGAGAATTCACCTGGCTGTACCCTTAAAAAAAAAAGAAGAAAAAAAAGAGCATTTATAGTACCTGGAAAAGCTGGCACTAAAAATACTAAAAATTACCTTATTGACAAATTCAAAGAGCAAAAAATAAAAAATACTTTCTGTGTATTATTACTTCTATCTCATTTTCAATTTTTAGTTATGAATCTTTTGATAGTATCACTTCATGCTATTCCTGTCTCCCAAGATCATAAAAATGCAACCAAAAATCAGAATTGGCAACAATGAGAAATCAACTTCCACCTCAATATAAGCTGCAATTTACGGTCACAACACAGGAGACAATTTGTCCAAGAAAAGGGCCACAGTGAGACAGTGGTCTGGGCTTTTTTGGGTTTGGTTTTTATAAACAATGCAAATTACTGATATTTGCCAGTTAAACCTCTATAGCCTCAAATATTTAAATGCACAATGATCCTCAAATAAATCTGTGTTATGAAAGGTGGGCATAGATTCTGTTGTCTCTGGAGTAGCCTCAATCAATCTACTATCCTACTTTATAAATATCCACCTCAAGGAAAGGACTACCTGTTACCAATTAGGGCCCTAAAAATCAAAATGATTCATGGTATGGCCTAAGAGGTATCAACCTGAGAACTCTGCATCAGAGAAATAGTATCAGGGATGTTACATTCCAGAAGTACTTTACATGGCTTTTACAAGTAATCTTATATACGTATTAAACATTGTGGGCTTTTAACACATTTGGGAAGAAACAGCCAGTCTTGCTGTTTACAGATTTGAACAAAACCTTTGCTGAGAGTTGCATTGCCAATGCTATATCTATCTTTTGCCTAATATTTGCCACCTACAGTCACCGCCCTGCAGACTAAGCAACTTAAGCATTTAACATCTGTTTTCCTTTAAAAATGGCTTGGCAGAAAATAATCTAGTCTGCATATGTTTGTATCTAAATAAAAAAAGCTAAGGACCAGTGTCTATAGGTTTACTTCTGCATAAATTTCAGGGATGTCACTCATGCATGCATTGTTAAACACATGAGCAAGCGTTCCCAGTATCAAAGGCTGTAATTTTAACAAGCTGAGGTCTCTACAACGCTCCTAACAATTTTAACTTCTACACGTTACTAGCTGCCACCACAAAACACCTTTTGAAGATGTAGTTAATAATGAAGACTTCTCTACTTGTTTATCCCACTATTATATCAAAGATTCTAGATAGATGAAAGAATCTCAGAGATGCTCCTCTTCACGTATGACCCAATAAAAGGATGCTGTCAGGCAGATTTACTCCCTTAGTTTGGGGTTACCAAAAGTATGTTTGAACTTAATACTAATTGGAACATCAATTTTTTAAGTGAAATATCAATAATTTGGGTTTCCTTCTTGGATGCAAATACTCTTGCTCCACAGTGCTTGTAACATGACACAGCATAGTTACATCAGGTTATCAGATCAGAGCATGAAATGAAGCAGAAACCGAACCAAACTTCCCAAATTCTCATTGCCCTGACTCAAGTTCACCTTATTTGATTGCAATCGGTTTTAGTTGAAAACAAACAGAATTCCAACATGACAACATCCTTCTAAGTAAGTCAGACTCACACATGCAAAAGCCTAAGCCCTGTGTTGTAAGAATGTGTGTGAACATGTGAAAGACGTGACTAGGTGTGTCCAAGCCTTTTCTACAAGTGACTAGAAGCCCCAGCAGCAATGATACTCACGCTGGCATTGTCCCCAGGACACTCGGGCCCAGCCCCAGCAGCAGTCAATTCTGCTTCCAAACCGACAGAGTCCTGCAGAGGAGACCATGTGTCTGGGCCACCTGAACAACACAGTGCAAAAAGGTCTGGTGAAACATTTTGAAAGTAGCTAAAATCATCCTAGAGTTAAAAAAAAAAGAAACACTCAAAAACCAAAACCAAACCAAACAAACAACTAACCAATCAAACAAACAAAGACAATGACCAGCAACAGCCTCTCCTGCATGGAGATATATAATCTTCTCAAAAAAAAAAAATTAAAAAAAAGAGTAACTGCTCAGTAGAGCTGAGCCAATAATACTTCTATTATTAATACTTTGTTTAGTTCAAAAAATGGAAATGACTATAGGTGAAGAGGCAAAAAGATAATTAGAGTAACTCAGCAAAGCTTGAAAAAACTGACATGCTTTGCAGTACGCTCACTGCTGCCACTCCCAGGCTGGCTTTAAACAGACTCAGAAGTCTGAAACAGAATTTATAATATGGAATAAACTCCATCATAAAGTTTCAGCATTGGTTTATTTCACAATATACAGCCAAATTTTCTGACTGATATGGCCAAATTTTCTCACTGGAACGTTATGGGAAAAATTCAAAACAAAAGGTTCCTGGACAGTTAAGTAGAAATCAAATACAAAGGAAGAGCTGTAGTCTTTCCTTGTCCCAAGGAACTGATACCACGGCTTCAAGCAGTTCTAAAATATTGACATGAATCAGTAACGTTTCTTAACGACAAGCTGAAACCCCGTGAGCGCTGCACTTGAACAAATCTAAGAAAGAAATCCCTGGAGACAGAGGGGGTCGTTCTGGCCGATTCCCACGCACACGGCAGTGTCCGCTCCCCGCAGCGCCGCCGATCGCGACACCTGTCACGACACGGCGAGGCCCGGCGGGCACGCGCGCCCCGAACTTCGTGTTAAAACTTGAGTCGCGATCTTCGCCGTCGTCTGCTGCAAGTGCCTCCCGGCGTCAATAAGCTAATTTTACCTTTACAGCATGCGAAGCGCTCTGGTTTTTTTTTTCAATTCGCGGCCCTGGCGGCGCAAAAAACTTTTTTACACCTAAGCCCGAGTTTAGGCTGCCGGGCAACGGGGGCCGAGAGAGCCCGTCCTGGTGAGCCCCGGGAGCGGCACCTCCGGCACCGCGCCTCCACCGCGGCCGTGCCCGCGGGCACCTCTTCCCGACCGTGGGGGGACGGGAGCGCCAGGGACACGTCCCGCCGAGGGCTCCGGGGGCCGGTGCCAGGAAGGAGCCCGAGGGCCATCACAGCGCCCGCCGTCGAAGCCCCCCCGCCAGCCCGAGAAAGAGCCCGGGCTCCCTCCGCCCTCCCCGCGGGGGCTCCGACCTGCCCGAGGAAACACTGGCTTCTCTCCCTGCCCGGCCGGTCCCGGCCGCCGCCCCCGCTCGCCCCGCGCCTACCTTCTGTCAAACTCGCCGGCCGCCCCCAGGGAGAGGTAGGACGCCAGGAGCAGCCTCAGGGAGAACTCCATGGCCGGCTCCGCTGGCCGCCCGGGCGGCCAGGGGCGGGCGGCGGTGGCCGGGGCGCTCCCGCTGCTGGGCGGACGGGGGTACGGCTGCCGCCCACGCCGGTGAGCTGCTACGGCTCCGGGGCGGCGGCGGCAGCTCCGCGCTCTCCCTCTCGCTCTCCCTGCCCGCCCGCCTGCCTGGCTGCCGGGCGGAGGAGGCGCCGCACGGGGAGCGGCAGCGCCGCCCGCCCCCGGCAGAGGCGCCCGCGGCCGGGCCGCCCTCCCGCCGAGGGGCACCTGGAGACACCTGGGGCAGGAGGCAGCGGGAACGAGCCCCGCGCCTTCGGACGGGGGCCCCGCGAGGCAAAAATCCGCAGTCTGAGGGCGCTAAGAAGGGTGGGCTTTGTTATGATAAACTTTCCTAGCTTGAACTTCCTGAAGTAGGATGGCTACGCCCTCCTCTTTGCAAGCGAAGTCCCCATCTAAAGTCAAGAGCGTTAAGATTTGGTCTTCTTCTAACCAACCAAACCTTCCTCAGAACAAAGCTTTTTGAAAGAATTACAAGGTGTATATGGGGTTCTTTTCTGGCTCAAACACTCCTATTAAATAGCTCTCAGGTGTTGGCATGTGTGACATTAGATGTCCCAGCCCTTGTCCAGAAGAAAAAGTGACAAGTTTAAACACTAACCACACAGTGTGTAAGGACATCCTTGCACCACTGCCGACAGCAACGACTGCATCTGTACTCTACATTAACATGTTGAAATACAGCCGTTATTTTTGTTTGGTTTCTATGAACTACCGTTCTCGGGACTTACCAAGGCACACTTTTAATAACAGTCTGTCACCAATTTAGGGTCAGAGTTGCTCTGAGATCCCAGATTACAGACAGATAGGGTCAACAACTTGGACTGGGTTGCAGAATTGGTTTTGATTTGTGCCTAAATCAAGGCTAAAGCTCATCAGCTGTTCCTCCAAGAGTCTGGCAGTAGCTTAGAAGCAGAAAACAAAGATCTTCTCTGGGTTCTGTTGTAGCACAAAGCCAAATCCTTGAGGAAGCATTTGGATGCCAAACACAGCTTAAAGCTTCAGGTTTGAGCTGGCCATTCTATACAGAACATTTTCCACCTCCAAAACACTTCACAGATAATTCAAGCAACACTGCACAAAGGTAACAACTTTTTGCACAAAATACAAATTGTGCCATTAAGCTTTCAAAAGTTAAACCCTCCCCGGAGTGGTTTTAACACTTTCTGCTCACATTTGAACAGAAAGCTCCCTCCAATGCTCCTTCCCCTCTTCTTGTCATCTTTTCATGACCATATGATCCCATGCTAAGCATTCTGTCCACAGCCTCAACCCAGAACTTTTCAGACACAGAGGAAAAAACCAATTGTAAAAGCTACAAGGTGATGATTCTTCAAGGTGCTTATTACCTATGCTCAGGTAACAAGCAAGCCCCCTTAGAGGACTCAGATAGATATAAAAACTGCACTGAGGACCAAACCTGGTTCCCTTCATTCACATGAGAAGCTGATAGCCAATCAGTGAAGGCAACAACACAGCGACATTTGGGAAAGACAGAAGAGCATCTGGGTCATATTAGAGCCTTTCTGAAATATAGAATTGATTTCCAGCTCTTGACTGATCGCTTTTTTTTTTCACTTGTTTGTGTGTTGTGGTATAACAGACCATACATAGTGGAATCACTGTCAAGATTTAATGGGCAAAAGGGGAGGAATCCTATTTGTGATAACCACAAGGATTTCTTTCTAGTAACAGCATCTGCCTGCATTTCTCCAACTTGTAGAAAAAAAGTGTCCACAAAGTACACCACAGCCAAGTTCAGGACGGGTGACAAAAGCAACATCACTGTGAATTAAGGTCTAGAGCAACGTGACACTTTACTTCTGATGTCCATGTCATAAAGTCAATTCTTTACATGCAATGCTGCATAAATGGTACTTATGTACACAGCAACTTTAAAGCACACACTACTCCTTTAAAGCATGGACACTTACAAATGACAGTAAGATCACTTAATCTGTCCAGACTGCACTGAGTAAGATTTCCTCAGCAGCCTGTTTGGCAGTCTTGTATGTTAATACTAGTGTGCTGGTCAGATGTGGTGCCTACTGCAATTAAGACTGTCTGCTCTTGGTTAACTTTTGCTGCCTCTACAATTTGTTTTGGAACATAAGCCTGAAAAAAACAGTTAACCACTCACTGAAAGATCATATACTGCACTTCCATACCCATCAGTGGGACTGAACATCCAGTCATTTATGAATTCATTTACTTTGGCAATGCTTTATCAATACTAGTGGAGTTTTTTTAACAAGGCAGTTTCTCATATCCATGATAGTAGAAGGATTAATGAGTGAGCTGTCAGAGAACCAAATCTCTTGACAAGTTAAAGGTGTATAAAGTTGTGTGGGTATACATCAAGATACTATACAGAAGATGCAGAAATTGTTGGCAGTATTACTAGGAGCACTTTTGTGCCTTATGTTTAGTGAAGCAGTATGAAAGTCTGGAAAATGTTGAAGCCATAGGGTGGGCTGTCCTGATGTTCAGTAGGACTTATCTCACAACAGTAAAAGTCCACAAGCTGTACATCAAGTGCTCAGATGAATGAGCAGAACAAGTGTCCAAGAAAGTTTTTTCAAAAGTACTGATAAGGCACTTGATTGAGCACAACATGATAGTCAGGGGTTTAGCTGCAAATCAGCAACAATGAAACACAGAGGAAGGCAGTATTTTGTACAGCAATGCTGCTACTCTTGTGCATAAAAAATGTCAAAACACATAGAAAGGTAAATTTTCACTGAAAAGGTGTTCATTTTATGCAAGCATAGTGATCCTTCCTGCTTATTTTACTCTTCTTCATTTCCCCATAAAGATCTTTACATACTTTGTACCAAAGAAGCCACACTATCGGCCACAATCCTTGTCTTACTTTCATTCTCGTGGATATATTGAGCTCAGTTCAAGACCCTTCTATGCATATCAAGACTTAAACTTGTAAAGATATGTTGTGTTGGTTGAGAGCAGAGGAAGAGTCTAAAATACTTGCAGCTGAAACTACTTGCAGCTGACCATGCCATTAGCAAGCCCATTAGGTTCTGAATTATCCATAATTTCCCAGGGGATGATGTCAGAGGTGTATATTCTGTTGCTGTTATTCTACACCGTAAGTGATACAGGCACATGTGACTGCACACAAAACTGAATTTTCGTGATAAGGTGGCAGAGGGTGAAGAAATGCCAGTTCTAGTGAAGTGAAGCTTACCTACAGTCTTCTCTAGTGAAACAAACCTTTCTTGTATGCATGAAATCTGCTCGTCTTGAACAACACTACCTACTTTTGCTTCACATGGGCTAGACTGTGCCCAGCGGTCTCAAGTGTTTCAAACTTCAGCTGCAGGGCTAAGTACAGGTTTTTAAAAGCTCTTTGTTGCTATAACCACTCCCAAGAGGGAAAACCAACAGAACAAAAGCAGTTTCTGGAATATTTTCTGGCATCAACTGGACAGGCAATATTAAGAAAAAAGACCTGAAAAGATACAAGTGGCAGATATATTAGGCTGACAGATATTGGTAAATACAGTAGATGATAGAATATGGTAGATATGACAGAAATCACACAGAAACAACTTTAAAATTTATCTTGATTGTTTCAGGCAGCTGTGAATTGGACAAACACGCAGAAGACATTGTTTTCAGGGTATTCTGCTGCCAAGTAACTTTTCTTTGAGGGAGGCATTAAATGAGTAACTTCTTTCAAATCCACTTTTTTAATATTAACTTTCTCCTTGTTGTCCTAAAACACAATAAACTTAATAAATTAAGTCCTCTATTCAGCAGAATCAAGAAATACTTTTGTAACACTCGCATTTACATAAACAGAAATTAAGGTACAGAAAATTACTTTTCCACAAATCAAATAATCTGTCATCAAACTAGAAACAGATCTCCTGTTTTCCAATTTCATACTTAGACCACAAATCCATCCTTCCTCCCTTCTAAGTATTTCACCCACATTCAGGCTACAAAAGTTGACCACAAATCCTACACTACTCCAAGTCTCTAAATCACACTATGACATGTGGAGAAAACACTTGATTTGTAGTTAATGGCAAGCATGATCATAGTCTGCATTTGTGGTGCTAAAGTAACATGTATACTTCTTTCAAAATGGAACAGAAGAAAAGAATCCAAGTCCAAATTATCTATGAGACTTTCAATGTCATTACTTTTTCTCTGGGGTTATGCAATTCTGTTTTTCAACCAGCTTTATACGTGGTATATTTAAAAGTAGTATTTATAAGGTAAATATTATCTCTCTCATATGCTAGGTAAAAATCTCTATCAGTCTCATCCTAATAAGAAAACTATGAGGCATCAGGAAAACACAGCAATCCAATCAACTAAATCAATCTTGGTACTCCACCTCCCTCTTAATAAATGTTCTTAAAAGGGTAAAAAAGTCATCAAGCCTGTCAGACACTGTAGCATCCCCTTACCTTCTAAACAGATAAACCCTGTGCTTTAGATACTAGTTCAAAAGCTTCCAAATGCTTTTCCTGCATCAGGTCTTCCAAATTAATTTGCTTTTTCTAATAAGTTTCTTCCACGCATACTTGATCCCTTTTTAAAAACTGTGAGTGGTATTTGTTTTGAAGTTTACTGCATTTCCTTACAGTGTAAAGAAGTTATTTTCCCCCATAAATAAACAATAATTTACCTTTCAAAGCCAGTAAAATTTCACCTCACTTAATCTGTGTAAGGTCCTACTGTTCCAATAACACACCAAGACCATGTCCAGGTAGCTCTTGAATAGCTCCAAGGAGAGAAACTCCTCGAAATTTCTGGGCAACCCATGCTAGTACTCAGTCATCCTCACAGTGAAAAAGTGTTTCCTCATGTTCAGGTGGAATCTCCTGTTTGTGTCCATTGCTTCTTGTCAGACACCACTGACCCAGCAGGACCCCCAGGCTCTTTTCTGACAGGCATCTGTCAACATTCAGTGCATGGGCTTGCTCCTCTCCAGGTGCAGAACTTTGCACTTTCCTTTATTAAACCTCATGTGGTCCTTGTCTGGCTTTTGCTCCAGCTGTCAGGGTCCCTTTGGATGGCAGCACGACCCTCTGGCTTGTCAGCCACCCT